TAGGCGATAGTCTAATACATTGGGGTAGAGAGTTCCAGAGGATGGGGGAAGCTCTGGAGAAGTCCTGGAGATGAGCATGGGAGGAGGAGACAAGAGATCTAGAGAGCAGGAGGTCATGGGAGGAGCAGAGAGGATTGTTTGGGTGATATTTTGAGACAAGATCGGTGATGTAATTTGGGGCAGAGTTATAAATTGCTTTATATGTTATTGTTAATGCTTTGAATTTCATTTGTTGGGCAATGGGAAGCCAGTGGAGGGATTGGCAGATATGGAACGGTTAGGTGGATGAGGAGGCGACAAGGAGTTCTATGATCACAGCACACACTTTCATTTTATAACATCAGCATGGGATGAAAGACTGCAAATTTAACATCAATATATAGAGACACAACATTATTTGCAGTATAAAAAATGGTCGCAGCACCTTTATTGGTTTAACCACTTGCCCTCCAGAGGATTTACCCCCATTCCTGACCAGGCCATTTTGTGCATTACAGCGCTGCATTACTTTAACTGACAATTGTGTGGTCATGCAACGTTGAACGTAAATGAAATATATATCCTTTTTTTCCCACAAATAGAGCTTTCTTTTGGCGGTATTTGATCGCCTGTGCGTTTTTGGTTTTTTTTTTTGGCTAAAAAATACCTACAATTTTAAAAATAAAATATTTTTTGACTTTTTGATATAAAGCATATCCAATAGAAAAATAAATTGCCATAAATTTAGGCCAAAATGTATTCTGCTACATGTCTTTGCTAAAAAAAAAAATCCCAATACGTGCAAATGAATTGATCTACATGAAAGTTATTGCGTCTACAAATGGTGGTATAGATACTGGAATTTTTTTTTTTAACTAGTAATGGCGGCGATCAGCGATTTATAGTGGGTCTGCGGCGGGCATTCTGACACTGGGGGGGAACTGACTAACTGCCACTGACATTCCCAGTGACACTAATACAATGATCAGTGCTAATAAAAAGCACACTGTACTAATGACACTGGGCAGGAAGGGGTTAACATCTGGTGCGATCAAAGGGTTAACTGTGTGTGTTTTACATTGTGTGCTGTGTGTGTTTTACTACAGAGGTATGTAGAGAAATACAATACAGCATGTCCTTCCTGACAGCAGAGAGACCTGTGTTGTTTACACATGGGTCTCTCCCCTGTCAGCTTTGCGCAACGATCGCCGAGTGCCAGCCTGGAATTTCCGACCAGGACCCGGTGATTGACATCCCTAGCTGCCAACAGCGGCGCGGGCAGGGTGGTGTGCGTGCACGCCCCTACCCAGAACTGCAAATCTCGTATATATGTGTGATTTTACACAGCCCCACCATGTAGCAGTACTTCCGCTATAGGGCAGAGGGATAAATAGAGACAATATATTATTTGCGGTATAAAAAATAGCCATTCTTACACTGGGTGAGAACTGGCTGTCACTGACATCACCAGTGACACTAATACAGTGATCAGTGCTAATAAAAAAGCACACTGTACTAATGACACTGGGCAGGAAGGGATTATCATCTGGTGCGATCAAAGGGTTAACTGTGTGTAAGGGAGTGTTTTTATTGTGTACTGTGTTGTGTTTTACTAAGCAGACCTGCTTCTTTCTATCTCACTAAAAAAGCAGCACGTCTATCTCTAGAAAGCAGCATGTCTATGCTGACAAGAGAGAGATCTGTGTTGTTTACACACAGATCTCTCCCCTTTCAGTTTTGCTGACGATCAGCGAGTCCTGGCCAAGAATCACCAGCCAGACATGGTGATTGACATCCTCAGGAGCCAATAACAGTGTGGGTAGGGTGGTGTACATGTGCACGCCCCTACCTGGAAATGCAAAATCACGTATATTTACGTGATTTTGCCCAGCAGAGCTGCCCTGTAGCAGTACATCGACTATGGGTTGGCAGGCAAGTGGTTTTAATAGATGAATAAGCACATTTTTTATTATATTTAAAATAAATACTGAAATATAATAAATTATCCTCTTCCTGCCTAAGGGTAAAACAAATGGTAATGCCTAAGCACAATTTTGCAGCTTTGACATGTGTTAGTAAAATGGTACATATCATTGCAATTACTTTGTGCACCCAGATATATTATACCTTGTTTTTTTTTTCCAGGACAAATTGGGCTTTCATTTGGTGGTGAATGGTAATGGATATTTCCTGATTTTTTTTTTATTATCAAAGGAAAACTGGCCCAAAATAGTAGAAACAAATTATTTTTTAAAATTTAGTTGGATGTTTCTTGCTACTACTATAACCTACCACCAAAGAACAACCCAAAATACATTCTCCTGCTCCTGACTATGCAGCAATACCACATATATTGTTGTTTGTACCCATAGTACGGCCCAGAAACAATAGTCTGCATTTTGCTTTTTTTTACCTTGCCTAAAATACACTGACACTTACACTAACTGACACTGATACTAATTTAAAAAAAAAAAAAAATACTGACCAAAAAAAAAATACTGACCCTGGACCATGACCTTTGACCCTGACCTAAACACTAATCCTGGCACTGACCTACATTAAACTTTGATCTAGGGCAGCCTTTCTCAACCAAGGTGCCCAGGCACCCTGGGGTGCCTTGAGGTTTCTTCAGGGGTGCCTTTGCAAAATGTTCACAAATTGCCAAAACTTGTATACAAGCCAGCGGATGGAACAAGCCTGCCTATTAGTTACACAAAGCCACAGGTTTTTATTGTGCACCATTACGACCTTCTAGCCGCCGGCATCCTGACAACCAATGGCATCATCAGTTTATAAGGAGGATGTCAGCTACCTGCACAGCATCTTTGTTTGACCCTCTCCTGCCCCTCTCCATCAGTGTTGGGGTCACATTAGCTCAGTGATGGAGAAAAACTGAGAGTGAAGAGACTCACTGGAATATTACTCAGTACCAGTGTGCAAAAGTGTACTTGCTTTGGAAGAATAAATCACCTCTAATGTTGGGTGTCCTATATGTGTGGATGTTGCTGCGTTATGTAAAACTGATAAATAGGTTTTCACATTGTAGAAAGGGGTGCCCTTTTAAAATTATGGATATTCTAGAGGCAAAAGCAAAAGATCTATGAGGGTGGGAGGCAGTTTACATCTAAACAGCAGCTCTGGGAGGCTATTCTGACATCTTGCAAACAAATTCAAGCAGAAACTGTCCAAAAACTCACAAGTTCAATGGATGCAAGACTTGTGAAGCTGCTATCAAATAAGGGGTCCTATGTTAAAATGTAACATGACCTGTTAAAATGTTTAAAAAGTTAAAATGTTGTTAAAAGTTTGATTGAAATAGCTTTTGATTTCAGTAAATATGCTGCAAACACAACAAATGACAATTTTCAGTTCTTTACAACCTATAAAGTGTTTTGAAACTTACTGTGTGGAATAATTTGGAACAGTGCATTGTAAGTGTTTTATGTTTAACAAAAATACTGTTATCATTAGGAAATTTGTTCAATAAAATGTGAATTGTACTCTTAATAGTTGATAACATGAGAATTATGCTGACTGTTATTTACATCAATTATTTAGGGAAATGAGTAAAATATAATTTGCATAATAATTTGGAACACGGTGTAGATTAAGGCTGGCCATACATTATACAATTTTCTTTAGAAAATTGCTTTAGATTTACCAGAAATCATATAATATATGAGGTCAAACCTAAACAACACTTTCAATTGTATCCAATTAAGCAGGCCCTTGTACTACATAGTTGAAGGGAAATCTAAAGGAAATTGGGCAGAAATTGAACAGAAAATTGTATAGTGTATGGCCAGGCTAAGTGTGGACCACCAAACGGGTGTGCGTGTCTATTTACTATTAATAAACCACACCAAAGCTAAAGGTGTTCTACACTTATGTCTTGTGCTTGTAGTGATTTTTATTGAAACAGGTGTGCCAGAGGGGTTGAGGTTGTTTTTGGAGTCGAGGCACAGAACTAAGAACTGAAAATTACCAAGCTGCTCCTTCGGGGGAGGTCCTACACAGATATTAACATACAATTGTGTGTGTAGCACCCCCCCCCGACCCCCTAAAGATAGGATAACACCTCCAGAGGCAGGGAGCCAGCTAGCATTTACCTCAGGGCTGGGTCCATGGCTATAATTGGGCACCAGTCACTTTTGGTCTTTTCAACATTTTAATATTCAACTTGGAAAGAAGGTAGGAGGAGTGAGGGTTAGGGGTCCCAGATACCAGCAGCAAACTACTTACAGCCTCTTTGGACCCAGAGCAGAGTCCAGCTTCACAGTGTCAGAACCTTTAAGCCGACTCAGCAACACTGCAAGCACATTTTCAGATACTAGTGCATCTTCCAAGCATGTCACCAGGCCCTTCTGAGAGAACAACTTTCATCCTGGCTTTCTCCAGAAAGGGTCCTCCCCTGGATCTCTTCACTTTGGTTCGGCTTCCTCCTCACTGGGCAGGACAGCCTCAGGACCACCTCAGTGTAGATAGGCCACAAATAGGCTTCAGAGCCTAGTCACAGAGCCCTCTCAAGCAGTACCTCCTCAGGCCTCAGTCTGAGGCAAGGGAGCAAGCGCATGGCCTGCCAAAAATTTTCATATCCTCTCCCAGCATGCACCAGTAACCATGGCCCTTCTACTGGGCAGGAGTTGGGAAATATAAATATTTATAACTCAACTTAGTTTAAAGGAAAGCCTAACTATAAACTATGAAATCAGTATGAGCTGCCTACAGTCCAGCCAAAAATGAAATTTACATAGTAGCCCCAGTTTAGGACCAGTGGGCTAAATGTATATATGATAGAACCACATCAAAATTAAAAAGCTGTGTTTTCTGTCTCTATACAAGTGCCGTGCGTCATACAAGTGCCATGTAAAGATCTCTGTTAAAATATCATCATCTAATATAAAGTAATACCAACTCCTCTAAGCATACACTATATTGCCAAAAAGTATTGGGACACCCCTTGGATTCAGGTGTTTCAATCACCTCCATGGAAACTGGTTTATAAAATCAAGGACCTAGGCATGCAGACTGCTTCTACAAACATTTGTGAAAGAATGGGTCGCTCTCAGGAGTTCAGTGAATTCAAGTGTTGTACTGTGATAGGTTGCCACCTGTGCAATAAGTCCATCCATGAAATTTCCTTGTTACTAAATATTCCACAGTCAACTGTTAGTGGTATTATAAACAAAGTGGAAACAACTGGTAAACAGCAACTCAGCCATGAAGTGGTAGGCCATGTAAAATAACAGAGCGGGGTCAGCGCATGCTGAAGCACACAATGCGCAGAAGTTGCCAACTGTCTGCAGAGTCAATAGCTAAAGACCTCCAAACTTCGTGTGGCCTTCAGATTAGCACAACAACAGTGCGTAGAGAACTTCATGGAATGGTTTTCCATGGCTGAGCAGCTGCATCCAAGCCTTACATCACTAAGTGCAATACAAAGTGTCGGATGCAGTGGTGTAAAGCACGCCACCACTGGACTCTAGACCAATGGAGACGTGTTCTCTGAAGTGACGAATCACTTTCCTCTGTCTGGCAATCCTATGGACGTGTCTAGGTTTGCCAGTTGCCAGGAGAACGGTACTTACCTAACTGCATTGTGCCAAGTGTAAAGTTTGGTGGAGGGGGATTATGGTGTGGGGTTGTTTTTCAGGGGTTGGGATTGACCCCTTAGTTCCAGTGAAGGGAACTCTTAAGGTGTTATCATACCAAGACATTTTGGACAATTTCATGCTCCCAACTTTGTGGAAACATTATGGGGATGGCCCCTTCCTGTTCCAAAGCAAGGTCTATAAAGACATGGATGAGTAAGTTTGGGGTGGAGGAACTTGACTGGCCTGCACAGAGTCCTGACCTCAACTCGATAGAACACCTTTGGAATGAATTAGAGGCATCCCAATTTGTTTGGCAATAAAGTGTGTATACCTCATATATCCATTACCTACTATATGGCATATTGCAACTTTGATTCTTGATACTTCAATTAAAAAGTTTTTGACAACTGCATGCTTTTATTTTATGAACTTTGAAGCCCAATTTACTGGGCCACTGATTATACTGTACATTAGTGATGGGCTTGATGTTCCCTGAACACACGAACGGTAAGGGCATTCGGCGGCTATTCGTCCGCCACACCCCACATTGCACTGCGCTCTTACAGTGCAATGTGATTGATCAAAGCAATGCACCTGGTCAATCACAGCACATTTGGGCAAAGCTAGCAGCGACAACACTCCTTTGTCCACCCAATTGTTTACATCTGACAGGCAAATATCAGATAGTGGCGTGTGCTCGGTGGTTGCGGATGGATCTGTGGGTGTTGGTTTTTTTTTTTCCATTTTGTCGAGTCGGCGTCATCGTGACAACACTGGACACCGTGACTCACGATGGATTACTACGATGGAACAATTTTTTTGGGCTTTTTATTTTAATAAAGTACTTTTCAAAACTTGTGCTTTTATTCAAATTTTACACTTCTTTGGTGAATGGGTAGGGGTAACTTGTTAGATTCTGATAAGTCACTCCCACAACCACAGCCCAGGGTTGAGGGGAGGAGGCCCTTGGTGACAAGGTGCTTTGGGGGGGAGCCATGTTTAGGGCATGTGGCCTGGTATGGTTCAGGAGGGGGGCACTCGTTCACCCCCCTTTCTTGGCCTGCCAGCCCTGTGCTCGGATCAAGGATCTAGTAGGAATTTAGAGAGGACCCCATGCTTTCCCCCCCCATTGTTTGGAGGTGGAGCTCCCCTTAAAAGTCCTACCAGGCTTAAAGGGCCTGGTATTGCTTTTAGGAGGAACCCTTTCACTGTGTGGTAAGGATTAGGGAGATGCCACTTTTTTTTTTTTTTTTTTTGTTATAAAAATATAATTTTTTAAAAAAAGTGACAGTCCTGCTGCAGCAGGTTGTATACATTGTACAGATGCACAACTTTGCAGGTAGTTTAAGGGACCCCCCCCCCCCCCCAGGCAGCATATTTTAAGGAATGTTTAATTTTTTTTTAACTTTAAGCAATGAAAAATGACTGCCCCTTAAAAAACGGTACTTTTAGAATTTTTTTTTTCACTGATTCATGTCCCTCAGGGCAGTAGCCAAGTCCCCATACCCCTTTTATGGCCAACAGCAATAAGCAAAATGGGCACTTTTTAAATTTACAAGTTTGAGTCCCGTAGACTTACATTAAGTTCGAAGTTCGCGGTCGAACTTTCGTTAGGTACAAATGTTCAACCGCGCACTACACAGGGGGATGTTCGGCCCATCTCTGCTCACTGCTGTACATCATATGGAGCACACATATAAAACAGAAGAGCAGGTTATGAGAACAGTTGGTTTGTATGGTTTTGGTTGACTTAAAGTAGAACTAAAGGCAAAACTGTTTTTTTTTATTATTATTATTTTGGATAGAGTAAAGGAGATTTATAACATAGTCAGGGGTTTTTTTGCCATACGTGTCCGATTGGGGAGATTTCCCCTCACTTCCTGTCCCATAGTTAAAACAGGAATTAAGAGGAAATCCTTCCAAAGGGAATCCCTGGTTATAGCCTCTTGCTATCGGGGCACTCAAGCAAGCTCACTCCCAAGCAACATTGTCCATTCACACACAGAGTGGGGCTCTGCCCTGCCCCCCTCTCTCTTCATCAGTTCACTGACTGTGATTGACAGCTCACACATTGATGTGTGAGCCAATGAGGAGGCAGGGAACTGGTAGAGCTGCTGCTCTCATGCATATTGGAGGTTTGGAGGGGAGCTGCACCCAGAAGATTTTTTACCTTAATGCAGAGAATGCATTAAGGTAAAATATATTTACGTTAACCTTTGGACACAGCTGATCACATGACATAGTAAAGGGTCATCACAATGGCCATGTTGTTCAGGAATCATAGGTCCACCATGAAGGTTTTGTAGAACAGTACACATTGCAGCAGCTAGGTGTGCACCTCCATAGCCTTTTATCTTTTCAAGTCACGTTTCAAAGAGCCTGTTATCTCAACTTAGGGACAGTGGACACTAGTACATAGGCCTTTACCAGAGCTCTAAATATCAAATTGTGGTTCTGGCAGGATGTCTGTTGATTTTTGCTAACCATAAACATCTACAAATTAGCACTTCCCTCTGACCCATTGTAAAACAATCACAAAATCCTTCAGTTCTGTCACCCATGAATTGTAGAGCAATCAAACCCATTAGGAATACACAGCGTGCATTAAAATATCTTAATCGGGGCTAATGGGTATTGTAAAGCCAGTCAGGCTTGAAGCAACCTTACTCAAATTTTCAAAAAAATCTACACACGATTCATAAAATCAGACAGGACCAAGACACATTAACCCTCGGTTCACACCTATGCAGGTTTTTGTTTAATTTTTTTTAAATTTTCTTGTTGCTAGGCAGATTCAAAACGCTATTCCATTGAAGTCTATAGAAACAAAAATGCAACTTTTTGTGTTAAAAAAAGTCCATGACCCTTTCCAAAAAACACACCAGGTGAAAAAGTGCAGATGTGAACCTGTCCCATAGGAAATCATGTTAAATGGACTGTACTATGTTTCTGCAAAACACAAAACACTGCAGAAAATGCTTACGTGTGAACCAGGGGTAAAGCGGTAGTAAACTTGTTCGAAAAAAAAAAAATTTCCCCCTACAAAGTAATATCATAATGTGCTAGTATGCATTGTATACTAGCGCATTATGTGAAACTTACCTTAAAACAAAGCCCTCTGGTGGCACGCTGTCACCACTGACAGGGCTTCCATCTTCACTTGTTCTTCTTTTCGGGTTCCCGGACCACAGCTGCTTGAATGGCTAAGCCGCCGATGACGTCACTCCTTCGCATGCGCAAGGGAGTTTCCGCCACAGTGCACAGCTCTGATAAAATGGCACGGGTATGCAGTTCCTTCAGAGCGCATGCGCTGGTGATGTCAGCAGCTGCAGTTCTGTAGAATATCTCCTAATCAGTGCACATTAAGACCCTGGTCAAACTGGATGCGACTTGGCATGTGATTTGCAAATTGCATGCCAAGTTGCACCCTATTGTCCGCAATTACAGCGGTCGTATCAGTGTAGTTTCGACTTGGTTGGAGCCGCACTGATTTCTAAAGTAGTACATGCACTACTTTTAGTGCGATTTGCATAGACATCTGTGTCAAATCGCACCTGAAATCGGCATGTCACCCAACTTTGAAATCAAGTCGCACTGTGAAGTTGCACAATTTCAAAATCAGCTTGCTGTGACCTGGGTGTTAGGAAATATTCATTTTACCTACAGGTAAGCTTTATTATATGCTTACCTGTAGGTAAAAATAGAAATAAGAGTGTACTACCACTTTAATATTAGGTATATATTTAAATGGAGAAGATCATACTGAACAAGGCCAGATCATACATGACTAAGCTTTAATATACAGAAGGTAGGTGTATCCCTGGATATGAAATTAAATGTTGAGCAATAGTCTACCAGTTTCCAAAATTCTATTGTATTATATTTGTATTATATTTATTTGAAGATATTAATATCAGTATAAGGGCCAGTTCACACTACATGCATTTCAGTTGCTTTTTTCTGCATCCAAAAAGCACAGAAAGTAGGTTATATGGTTGTCAGTGTCATAGTTCACATCAGTGCTTGCAGTTCCAGTGCGTCCCGGGTGCAGAAAAAAAAGTAGAACATGCTGCATTTTTTCTGCACAGAACTGTACTGGAAAGCTGTATAACGCATCAAAAACGCACTGTAACGCACTAGAAACGCACTGGAACACACATGTCCCTATTTAAATTGAAGAAAAAGAGAGAGAAAAAAATAAACTGGAATGCATAAAAAACGCACTGGAAAGTGTCAAAAATGCATAAAAAAGCACCAAAAATGCACATGCAAAAATGAATCTGGACTGCAGTTCTATAGTCTGAACTGGCCCTAAAACTGTGTGCAAGACTGGCCATACACTATACAATTTTCTGTCCAATTTCTGCTCAATTTACTTTAGATTTACCTTCAACTATGTAGTACAAGGGCCTGCCTAATTGAATGCAATTTAAAGTGTTGTTTAGGTTTGACCTCATATTATATATTTTTTGGTAAATCTAAAGCAAAATTCTCAAGAAAATTGTATAATGTATGGTCAGCCTAAGAGAGGGTCATAAACACGGTGACATTCCATGGCCGCTCCTCAGCTGCTTAATTGGTCAGGTGGTCTCTGTCAACACCCACTTGATATCAAAGAAATGTGGACTGCAACCACATTTTGGAAGCTCTCCTGTATATATACGTGATTTTGCGCATCCGTACTGCCCTGTAGCAGTATTTCTGTTATAGAGTGGCGCGGACGCATTTAAAAAAAATTGTTTTCATCTGCCCCAGTCGGAAGTGACATCATGAAAAGTCATGAAAGTGTGGGTGTCACTACATATGAGGTGTGACAATTTAAATCCTGGAATGTAGCACTATGATGGTGAGTCACACAGCCATTCACACTCGAGCGTGTTCTGACATCTTCTAACTTGTACTTGCCTGGGTCGCAGACCAGTTGATTCAGTCTTTATGAAGTAGTAGAAGAAATAACGTGTGTGCATTGCACTGTTGGTGGAAGATGAGTGGCAGGAACCTGGAGCAGCGTATTACCATCAAATATTGTGTGAAAATTGGCAAAAGTGTGAGTAAAACTTTACTCTGTTACAACAGGCATGAAAAATTTGAGTGTCTTTGAATGGCATAGGTGCTTTCACCACTTGCCTAATGGGCACTTTTACCCCCTTCCTGCCCAGGCCAATTTTCATATTTCAGCGCTGTTGCACTTTGAATGACAATTGTGCAGTCATGCAACACTGTACCCAAACAGCATTTTTATCATTTTTTTTGAGACAAATAGATCTTTCTTTTAATCACTACTGGGGTTTTTATTGTTTGCTAAAAAAAAAAAGACCAAACATTTAAAAAAAAGTTTTTCTTTTATAGTTTTGTAAATAAGTGATTTTTCTCTTTTACTGATGGCCACTGACGAGGCTGCACTGATAGGCAGCACTGATGGCCACTGATAGGCTGCACAGATAGACAGCACTGATGGGCACTGACAGGCATCACTGAGGACCCACTGATAGCCAGCACAGATGGGCACTGTTGGCCGCACTGATGGGGCTACGCTAATCATCAGGGCACTGATGATCAGTGCCCTGATGATCAGCGTAGATGTCCCCCCTTGTCAGCGCAAGGGGAGGACTGACGATAATCGGCATTTCCTATTTACACTGTGATCAGCTGCCATTGGACACAACTGGTTACATATAAAAGGCGCCTCTGATTGTCCCTTTACTTTAACACGTGATCAGCTGTGTCCGAAGGACACATTGATCATAGATCGCACACAGTGTGCGCCCCAGGGTGTGCGGTTCTGGGAGGCTGTCCACGGATGCCCTCCCAGAACTAGCTGACCATGCTGTAGCCGTCTTTTGGATATATTGCTGGTCGAGAAGTGGTTAAGGAGGGAAGGGAAGATACCAACAATGATGCGAACACTCGTGTGCTCATAGTAAAGACTGACTGTGCGAATGATGGCGGAAGAATTGAAAATGAACACAGAAAACAGTGCGGCTGATTCTAACGGAGGATTTGGGAATGAAAAAGATTTCCACAAAGATGGTGCCTTGAATCTTGACAGAATTCATATTCAAATTTCATCTGATCTTTTACATCCCAGGAATTAAATTGTTGCACCTCATATGGACAGTTTTTAACATTTTAATACATAGTGATCAATGCTACCCTGGAAATGTACACGTGTATATGTAATCATTATCCCCCCCTCCTTCAGGAGAATGTTTCCAGGAACTGATTAGTGTGAGCTTTGTTATGAGTGGGGGCATTTTAAAGCTGTGCACAGGAAGGAGGAAGAGGTGGTGGAGGACTGAGTGCAGTGAATGATGGGTAAGCTGTCCTTGTCCTTGTAAGTGGATGATCATGCTGGGGATGAGTGTGGTGAGAACAGTATGTAAGTGTTTGTCATTGCCATCTGTCAGGCTGCAGCCTGTCCACACTGGGCCTGTCCTCAGAGCTGCAGATCAGCAGATTAGGAGCAGCCAAGTGTTTGACTGCAGTGTGCTCCAGTTCCTGGTCTGCCCCCTCTCCAGGAAAGCACTCAGGTAATACATACTGCATGGCCTACTGACAGCACAGCAACCTAATGGCTTTCTTCCTGTATGGCAGCTTATGGGGTTAAAATGATCACATACGTGTTAGTTGCAGACATTTTCCTTTAACCACTTGCCCTCCTGAGGATTTACCCCCCCCCCCCCCCCCCCCCTTCCTAAACAGGCCATTTTTTGTGTCACTTTAGCTTTAATTGCGCAGTCATGCAACGCTGCAGCCAAATGAAATTTTATGTCCTTTTGTTTCCACGAATAGAGCTATTTTTTGGAGGTATTTGGTCACCTGTGTGTTTTTTTTTTTTTATTTTTTCTGCTATAAAAATAAAACATGTCTAGTAAAACAATTTAAAATTCAAATTTCATTATTTAGGCCAAAATGTATTCTGCTAAATGTCTTTGCTAAGAAAAAATCCCAATACATGTAAATTTAAATGGTTTACGTGAAAGTTTTAGCATTTACAAATGGCAGTATAGATACTGGAAATTTTTTTTTTTTTTTTTTTAATTTTTACTAGTAATGGTGGCAATCAGTGACTTATAGTGATACTGCGACGGGCATTCTGAGACTGGGGGGAACTGACTTGGTATTACTGACATCCCCAGTGACACCAATACAGTGATCAGTGCTAACAAAAAAAAAAAAAGCGCTGACACTGTACTAATGGCACTGGGCAGGAAGGGGTTAACATGATGGACGATCAAAGGGTTAACTGTATGTTGTTTTACTTGTGTCAGTGTGCTTCACTGTAATCACACTGCTTTGGATGGCTCTGCTGCACAGCCATCCAAAGCAGTGTGCATGAGCTGACAGGGAGGAGAATTGTATTGTTTACATACAGTTCTCCTCCCTGTCGGAGATGCTCGTCACTCACTGGGCGCCGGCGAGTAATCACCGTCTGGAACCCGGTGATTGGCGGCACAGGTAGGGCGTGTGCCCCCCATCCCCGGAAATGCAACATCATGTGTGTATATATACGTGATTTTACACACCTGTGCTACCCTGTAGCAGCATATCTGCTATAGAATGGTCGGGAAGCAGTTAAAGTGGTTTTTTTTTTTTTTTTTTATTTTACCTACAGGTAAACTTAGAATAAATCGTCCCTGTAGGTAAAATGAATATACAGTCGGGTCCATAAATATTGGGACATGGACACATTCTAACATTTTTGTCTCTATACACCACCACAATGGATTTGAAATGAAACAAACAAGATGTGCTTTAACTACAGACTGTCAGCTTTAATTTGAGGGTATTTACGTCCAAATCAGGTGAACGATGTAGGAATTACAACAGTTTGCATATGTGCCTCCCACTTGTTAAGGGACCAAAAGTAATGGTACAATTGGCTTCTCAGCTGTTCCATGGCCAGGTGTGTGTTATTCCCTCATTATCCCAATTACAATGAGCAGATAAAAGGTCCAGAGTTCATTTCAAGTGTGCTATTTGCATTTGGAATCTGTTGCTGTCAACTCTCAAGATGAGATCCAAAGAGCTGTCACTATCAGTGAAGCAAGCCATCATTAGGCTGAAAAAACAAAACGAACCCATCAGAGAGATAGCAAAAACATTAGGCGTGGCCAAAACAACTCATTGGAACATTCTTAAAAAGAAGGAACGCACCGGTGAGCTCAGCAACACCAAAAGACCCGGAAGACCACGGAAAACAACTGTGGTGGATGACCGAAGAATTCTTTCCCTGGTGAAGAAAACACCCTTCACAACAGTTGGCCAGATCAAGAACACTCTCCAGGAGGTAGGTGTATGTGTGTCAAAGTCAACAATCAAGAGAAGACTTCACCAGAGTGAATACAGAGGGTTCACCACAAGATGTAAACCATTGGTGAGCCTCAAAAACAGGAAGGCCAGATTAGAGTTTGCCAAACGACATCTAAAAAAGCCTTTACAGTTCTGGAACAACATCCTATGGACAGATGAGACCAAGATCAAACTTGTACCAGAGTGATGGGAAGAGAAGAGTATGGAGAAGGAAAGGAACTGCTCATGATCCTAAGCATACCACCTCATCAGTGAAGCATGGTGGTGGTAGTGCCATGGCGTGGGCATGTATGGCTGCCAATGGAACTGGTTCTCTTGTATTTATTGATGATGTGACTGCTGACAAAAGCAGCAGGATGAATTCTGAAGTGTTTCAGGGCAATATTATCTGCTCATATTCAGCCAAATGCTTCAGAACTCATTGGACGCCGCTTCACAGTGCAGATGGACAATGACCCAAAGCATACTGCAAAAGCAACCAAAGAGTTTTTACGGGAAAGAAGCGGAATGTTATGCAATGGCCAAGTCAATTACCTGACCTGAATCCGATTGAGCATGTATTTCACTTGCTGAAGACAAAACTGAAGGGAAAATGCCCCAAGAACAAACAGGAACTGAAGACCGTTGCAGTAGAGGCCTGGCAGAGCATCACCAGGGATGAAACCCAGCGTCTGGTAATGTCTATGCGTTCCAGACTTCAGGCTGTAATTGACTACAAATGATTTGCAACCAAGTATTAAAAAGTGAAGGTTTGATTTATAATTATTATTCTGTCCCATTACTTTTGGTCCCTTAACAAGTGGGAGGCACATATGCAAACTGTTGTACTTCCTACACCAGTCACCTGATTTGGATGTAAATACCCTCAAATTAAAGCTGACAGTCTGCAGTTAAAGCACATCTTGTTCGTTTCATTTCAAATCCATTGTGGTGGTGTATAGAGCCAAAAATGTTAGAATTGTGTCGATGTCCCAATATTTATGGACCTGACTGTATCTCCTAAGTGTGCACCGTTTAGGAGATATTATTTTTTTTTTTTTTTAAAGCCGACGCATGCGCTCTGAAGGAACGGTATACTCGTACCATTCCTTCAGAGCTGTGTGCCGGGGACTCCCACATGCATGCGCAGGAATGACGTCTTTGCAGGTCGGTCAGTCAGACAGCCAGAGCTTGCAAACCCAGAAGGAAGACAGGTGAAGATGGAAGCATCTGCAGTAGGGACAGCGCATCACTGGAGGACTTTGTTTTCAGGTAAGTTTTACATAATGTGTTCGTATGCGATCCATACTAGCACAGGGCTTGAAATTTCCACTCGCCTGCTCGCCAATGGCGAGTGGAAGTTATGGTGGGGGCGAGTGTCCCCCCCCAGGGCCGTCTTGCTGAGCAGGCTCGGAGCTCAGGCCGGATCTGTCATTGGCACTGGAAGCCGTCAGACTGCTCAATAGCTGAGCGCAGTGAAAGCAAAGGAAGGAGAGTGTGCTGTGCTCTCTGCCTCCCCCTAGAGTGCAGTACCTGGATCTGTGAGTGAACAACGAGGTACTGCAACTTTTTATGGGGAGGGGGGGTGGTGTACGTATGTGTACATGTTTGTCTGTGTATGCATTTACAATTGTACGTGTGTGTGTGTTTGTACATGTGTCTGTGCGCGTGTATTTCTGTGTATGTACATGTATCTGTGTGGCTGCATGTCTGTGTGTGTGTATACATGTGTCTGTGTGTGTACACGTCTATGATGTGTGTACAGATGTCTCTGTTTGTGTGTGTTTGTTGGTGGCGAGTAACTAAGGTCTGGCTAGTAGCTCAGGACTTGAAATTTTAAGCTCTGTACTAGCACGTTATGATATTACCTTGCAGGGGGCTTTTATTTTCCCTGCTGTTTACTGCCGCTTTTAATATATGCTTTAGTGCCCGGTCCCACCAGTACGATTTGTAAATTTTATTTGCACCTAAAATTGCTTCTAATGAATGTGAAAGTCAGTGTCTTAACGTGCGATTTCTAAAGTACTTGCGATTTCACATACATAGAATATAATGGAAATCACACTGCAAATTGCAAGAAATCGTTGAAAATCTTCACAAGTAGCAATAAAGTCTTCAGAAATCGTGCTGAAATTGCACACAAATCGCACAATTTTAAATTGCAGTGGTGTGACCGGTGCCTTAGATACAGTGGCTATAAAAAGTCTACACACCCCTGTTAAAATGTCAGGTTTCTGTGATGTAAAAAAATGAGACCAAGTTAAATCATTTCAGAACTTTTTCCACCTTTTAACCACTTCCCGGCCGGCCCATGTACATAAACAGCCAGACAGGAGCAGTGCAGGAGCGGGTTGCCATTAATAAATGGCACCCACATTTTCAAGCTGTGCACACTCCCTGGGAGCGCTTGGCACCACGATCCGGTGCCCGCTGTGTTCTCCGGAGACAGCGGAACACCGATTGCTGTACGAGACCTTTTGTGTGAGGTCCCGATCTTGTGATCACTGATTGGCCAATCGGTGATCACGTGAATAGTAGTAAGTAAGCAAGATGTCACTTCTGACATCATTGCTTACTACTTGTGAAATCTGTGAATGATCACAGAGATCACATGGTACAAGGCTATTCACTACAGCCTTTTGTACCATGTGACAAGCTGTGACCAATCACAGCTCTCACAGTATTTCTCAATGGCTGCAAGAATGCAGCCAGAGAGAAGGAGAAATGATTGCTTTTTTTACAGCCTTTATGGGTGTAAAAGCAATCAGTGTAAAAAAATAGCGTCAAAAATGCCTTTATCTTCATCACCCCCCACAAGTAGTACAGTGTAGCTATGGTGACACTGTACTGCTATGGGTGGCAGTATGTTAAAAACAAATAATTATATAAAAATGTAAAAAAATATTTTGAAAAATTATATTTTTGGTTATATACTAATGTGGGTTTTTTTTTTGTTTTTTTTTTTTTTTTTTTACTAAAAAGATAACCAAATACATTTTAGCCAAGACTTCTGAAGAAAGATTATTTATTTATACAAAGAAAAACACTTTTTTAAAAAAATGTTTGGACTTTTTTTTTTTTTTTATATAGCAAAAAAAAATAAAAATCCTAGTGGTGAATAAATACCACCAAAATAAAGCACTCACAAATTCATATGGTAGTGTTGCATGACCGCGCAAATGTCATTCAAAGTGTGATAGCACTGAAAGCTGGAAATTGGCCCGGACAGGAAGGGGGTAAAAGTGTCCGGACTTCTGGTTAATGTAACCTATAAACTGTACAACTCAGTTGAACAACAAACTGAAATCTTTTAAGTGGAGGGAAGTAAAAATAAAAAACTAAAATAATATGGTTTCATAAGTGTGCACACCCTTAAACTAATACTTTGCTGAAGCCCCTTTTGATTTTATTACAGCACTCAGTCTTTTTGGGTATGAGCCTATCAGCATGGCACATCTTGCCTTGCAAAAACACTCCAAATCTGTCAGATTGTTAGGGCATCTCCTGTGCACAGCCCTCTTCAGATCACCCCACAGAATTTCGATCGGATTCAGGTGGGGGCTCTGGCTGTGCCATTCCAAAACTAATCTTGTAAAGCCATTCCTTTGTTGATTTGGATGTATGCTTTGGGTCGTTGTCATGCTGAAAGATGAAGTTCCTCTTCATGTTCAGCTTTCTAGCAGAAGCCCGGAGGTTTTGTGCCAATATTGACTGGTATTTGGAACTGATCATAATTCCCTCTACCTTGACTAAGGCCCTAGTTCAAGCTGAAGAAAAACAGCCCCAAAGCATGAGTCTGCCACCACCATGCTTCACTGTGGGTATAGTGTTCTTTTGGTGATGTGCAGTGTTGTTTTTGCGCCAAATATATCTTTTGGAATTATGGCCAAAAAGTTCAACGTTGGTTTCATCAGACCATAACACATTTTCCCACATGCTTTTGGGAGACTTCAGATGTGTTTTTTGCAAAATTTAGCCAGGCTTGGATGTTTTTCTTTGTAACAAAAGGCTTCCGTCTTGCCACTGTACCCCATAGCCCAGACATGAAGAATACGGGAGATTGTTGTCACATGTACCACACAGCCAGTACTTGCCAGATATTCCTGCAGCTCCTTTAAAGTTGCTGTAAGCTTCTTAGACCAGTTTTCTAATTTTGGAGGGACTTCCAGTTCTCGGTAATGTCACTATATTCTCCACTTGATGATGACTGTCTTTACTGTGTTCCATGGTATATCTAATGCCTTGGAAATTATTTTGTACCCTTCTCCTGACTGATACCTTTTAACAATGAAATCCCTCTGATGCTTTGGAAGCTCTCTGCGGACCATGGCTTTTGCTGTAGGATGCGACTAAGAAAATGTCAGGAAAGACCTACTAGAACAGCTGAACTGTATTTGTGGTTAATCAGAGGCACTTTAAATGATGCCAGGTGTGTACTGACTCTTATTTAACATGATTTTCTGGTACAATAATTTTTATTGTATGTAACATGATATTGAATGTGATTGCCTAATTCTGAACACCGCTACATCCCCAGTCATAAGAGGGTGTGCACACTTGTGCTACCATGTTATTTTAGTTTTTATGTTTACTACTACTCCCCCCCCCCCCCCCCCCCCCCCCCCAAAAAAAAGATTTCAGTTTATCAACTGAGTTGTACAGTTTATAGGTCAAGTTAAAGGTGGAAAAAGTTCTGAAATGATTTATCTTTGTCTCATTTTTTTACATCACAGAAACCTGACATTTTACAGGGGTTTGTAGACTTTTTATATCCACTGTAGGTATAGATTTAACTGTGGAAACATTACTTTTAGTCTGTTAATGACTATTCCTGATTTATGGGTTTCTCTTTTTCAAGCATGTCTAATATTTTGAGGTATCTACCCCAGGAAAATATGCATGCCTGGTGATAGTGCCAACATATCAGTTACACTGTGCAGATGCCAACCCAAAATAGAGCCGCCACTGGGGCCATTTGCACTTTTTTGATACTTTCAATGCGTCTCCCCTACCTATGCATGCTTATCTTGGCACCTCTTATATGAACTCCTGTTTTCTCTGACCAATTGTTTGAGGATGTTAAAAATGGGGGCGTGGTTTCAATTGTTGGGGTGGTCAGTGGGGTGTCCATTTTGGAAATCCAGTAACTTTATCCTACAAAAATGATTCTATTTTGTTTAAAGTAGAACTAAAGGCAATATATATATATTTTGCCATCTGTGTCCCACTGGGGAGATTTTCCTTCACTTTCTGTCTCAAAACAGGAAGTGAGAGGAAACCTCCCTGCAAATTAAGGGAATTCCTTGGGGACTCCCAGGTCACCTGAACTAGTGTCCCTATTGGAAGATTTCCCCTCTATCACGTTTCTGGGGGCAACCCAAAATTTGGGATTTTCTTTTACTTTCCGTGATCATGGTAAACAGAACAAATAGAGAGAGTGAATCTCCTTAATGGGAGCACTGACAGCAACAAAAACTAACAGGTGTGAAGTTTTGCCTTTTGTTATACTTGAATGTATTGGTACAGTAGGAGAGAATAGTGGCTGTTGGTTACCTGCTAGCTTTATAAACTTAGGTTATTCAAAAGCATAAGAGAAGAGAAAAAAGAGTAATGACAAGAAAACAATAAATAATGTTATCCATCATTTTTTTTTTTTTTTTTTTTTTTTTTGTGTTTGTAGGTATGACGAATCCACCAATGAGCTAATTAACGATGATCTGGGCATTGCATATCCTATTATAGATGGTATACCAAATATGATTCCTCAAGACGCACGGATGACTCACAAAGTCCAGAAGTCTCAGGAGAGTGATCAGAAATCTGAATAACCTAACTGGAAAACTGTGTGTACTGGAAGCCATGTTTTTCTCACTCCCCACACTGACGGTGCTTGTCCCTCTGCTGTCACTGGCTGGTATTTTGTATTCTGCCTCTGTAGAAGAGGACTTTCCCAAGGGGTGCACCAGCACAGCCAGTGTTTGTTTCTACAGCCTCCTGCTTCCAATCACTTTGCCTGTGTATGTGTTTTTTCATCTGTGGACATGGATGGGACTTAAGCTGTTTAGGCACAATTAATTACAAAGATGACTGCAATTTCATGGTCATTGTGGTGGGATATCTTTTATGCTGGCCTGTAGCAGTTCAGTCTGCTCTATTCTTACTAATAAAGGTGTCCTACAATGTAAATGAAGAGTGTAATTTTTTTTATTTTTTTTTTATTTATTTTTTTGTGTGTGTGCAGATGTGTGTGTGTGTGTGTATGTATGTATGTATGTGTGTGTGTATATATATATATATATATATATATATATATATATATATATATATATATATACATACATACATACATACATACAGTGGGGATCGAAAGTTTGGGCACCCCAGCTAAAAATTTGTATTAATGTACATAAAGAAGCCAAGGAAAGATGGAAAAATCTCCAAAAGGCATCAATTTACAGACTAGACATTCATATAATATGTCAACAAAAGTTAGATTTTATTTCCATCATTTACACTTTCAAAATAACAGAAAACAAAAAAATGGCGTCTGCAAAAGTTTGGGCACCCTGCAGAGTTAATATCTTGTACCGCCCCCTTTGGCAAGTATCACAGCTTGTAAACGCTTTTTGTAGCCAGCCAAGAGTCTTTCAATTCTTGTTTGAGGTATCTTTGCCCATTCTTCCTTACAAAAGTCTTCCAGTTCTTTGAGATTTCTGGGCTGTCTCTCACGCACTGCTCTTTTAAGGTCTATCCATAGATTTTCAATTATGTTGAGGTCAGAAGATTGTGAAGGCCATGGCAAAACCTTCAGTTTACGCCTCTCTTGATGTAATCCCCCGTGGATTTCGAGGTGTGTTTAGGATCATTATCCATTTGTAGAAGCCATCCTCTCTTTAACTTCAGCTTTTTCACAGATGGCATCAAGTTACCATCCAAAATTTGCTGAAATTTTATTGAATCCATTTTTCCTTCTACTCGTGAGATGTTCCCTGTGCCACTGGCTGCAACACAACCCCAAAGCATGATTGATCCAACCCCATGCTTAACAGTAGGACAGAGGTTCTTTTCATTAAATTCTGTGCCCCTTCTTCTCCAAACGTACCTTTGCTCATTCCGGCCAAAAAGTTCAATTTTAACCTCATCGGTCCACAGAACTTGTTTCCAAAATGCATCAGGCTTGTCTATATGTTCATTTGCAAAGTTCAAACGATGATTTTTGTGGTGAGGACGTAGAAGAGGTTTTCTTCTGATGACTCTTCCATGAAGACCATATTTGTACAAGTATCTCTTTATAGTGGAATAGTGTACCACAACTCCAGTGTCTGCCAGATCTTTCTGGAGGGATCGTGCAGTCAAACGTGGGTTTTGAATTTGTTTTTCTCACAATCCTGCGAGCTGTTCTGTCTGATATTTTTCTTGGTCTTCCAGATGTTGCTTTAACTTCCACTTTTCCTGATGACTGCCATTTCTTAATTACATTCCAAACAGAGGATATTGACATCTGAAAATGCTTTGCTATCTTCTTATAGCCTTCTCCAGCTTTGTGAGCGTCAACTACTGTATTTTCAGTTTCAGTTTTCTAGACAACTGTTTAGAAGAACCCATGGTGCTGATTGTTGGGGCAAGGTCAGATGAGTCTGGGCATTTAAAACCTTTGAGATTGACATCACCTGGTCTTCCCAGAGGATGATTGAGAACAATCCATGACACTGGCAGTTTTCAGCTTTGCAAAGGGAGCAGTGCATGCTATAAATTCTGCAGGGTGCCCAAACTTTTGCAGATGCCATTTTTTTGTTTTCTGTTATTTTGAAAGTGTAAATGATGGAAATAAAATCTAACTTTTGTTGACATATTATAAGAATGTCTAATCTGTAATTTGATGCCTTTTGGAGATTTTTCCATCTTTCCTTGGCTTCTTTATGCACATTAATACAAATTTTTAGCTGGGGTGCCCAAACTTTCGATCCCCACTGTGTGTGTATATATATATATATATATATATATATTTGTGAGTAGATCCAAATGCATGCTGTGGCTAAACTTTTTTTGCATCCATTTCCATCTTATAAGTAATGGACAGCTGATGGTGTGGACTTTTTGCTTCAATCCATTTCAGAACTTCTATAATTTTTCACTATGGCAAAGTCCCCTTTTTAATCTGTGAGTTTTAGCTTTATACATATATATATATATATATATATATATATATATATATATATATATATATATATATATATATTTTTTTTTTTTAAGCTTATGTCCAGGCAGATACAAAGATACATTACTGTAGCTCTGTAATCATATAAAAAACATCATATGGATATTTTTTTTTTTTTTTTGTAATGCAAGCATTGTAAATACCTGAATTTTAACTTCATATCCCCCCTTTGCAATCACTGTACAGCAGAAACTCAGTGTAAAGGGAGGGAGAAGCAACACGAGAAGCCAGGCAGTTGTGCTTTAGTGCAAGGAGTAAGCTGATAGGAGGTGTGAGCAGAGGTTGGCTCATCGGTGTGCTGCTTCTCCCTTCTTTTTTTTTTTTTTCTAGTATCAGGGTTTGGGTGGGGGGAGACCTGTAGGTGAATGTGAAACTGCAGCAGAGAAAGATCAGGCCCCCTCAAATGGAAACTGCCACTTTCTTACTCTTAGGCTACTTACTGAAGTTGTATCAGTGATGCTGAACATATGCTCTCTTACTGCATGCTATGGACTAGTATGCAGCATGTGTGTCAGATAAAGACAGCTTTTGTCGGAGGCTTTTAACCAGGTGTTTTAGTGCTTAGCCATTTTATCATTCTCAAAATATTAGTTTCCTGGTTTCTTGGTAATCCTCTAAATGCTATAACCTATTAGTCATTGTGTGTACTTTCAGCACTATCACACTTTGAGTGACAATTGCACGGTTGAGCAACACTGTACCCATATGAAATCTTTATAATTTATTTTGATACAGATAGAGCTTTCTTTTGGTGGCATTTGATCACCACTGGGTTAATTTTTTTTTTTACTATTACAATTTTTGCTTACAAAATTTTGCAGATCTATCTTTCTTCATAAATTTAGGCCAAAATGTATTCTGCTAAATTTTTGTGATTTAAAAATAACCCAAATAAGTGTATAATATTTAGTCTGTGTGAAAGCTATAGAGTCTACAAACTCTGGGATATATGTTTGAAATTGATCAGTTGAGACCCAAACATGCCGGATGTTGGTATGATGTATGGCAGTGGTTAGGACATTAGCATGAAGTATGGCGGTGATAAGGTTGCTGGTATGGCAGTGATCAGGACATTGGTATGGGGCATGGCGGTGATCAGAAAACTGGTATGGGGCATGGTGGTCAGAATACTGGTATGGAGTATGGCAATGATCGGGATATGGGTATGACGGTGATCAGGACACTGGTATGGCATACGGGGTGATCAGGATGCTGGTATGGGGGTGATCAGGATGCTGGTATGTGGTATGGTGGTGATCATGGCACTGGTATGGGGTATGGCGGTGATCAGGATGCTAATATGAGGTATGGCGGTGATCAGGGCGCTGGTATGGCAGTGATCAGGACATTGGTATGGTGTATGGCCATACACCCAGGCTCCCGTGTGTATTCTCTGTGAGCCACGGAGGAGCCGTCATTGCAGGCTGACGTACAGGTACATTAGCCCACATGTGCAAGGCTTCCACGTTTATAGGCAAGGGGCAGACAGGAAGAGGTTAAAGCTACTTTCACACTGATCCATGGCAAAAACGCATATTCGTTTTTGCCACATTTGCAGTACTTTTTTTAGGACATGCGACTCAAAAACCACCAAAATGCACTGCGTGTGCGTTTTTGATTAATTTTTGCCATGATTTCCATTTATTTCAAAGGGGAGGTGTGTGTTTGCTGTGGTGTGTGTGTTTTTTTTTTTTTTTTTTTTTTTTTCCAGCACCAAAAATGCAGCAAGCAGGACTTTGAACAGTGCACTGGACCCACAACAGGTCAGGTTTCTTTTTTTGTTTCTGTTTTGTTTTTTTTTTTGGGTTTTTTTTTAACGCAAAAGATGAAGAAAAAAAGGGATCAGTGTGAAAGCAGCCTTAGCTGCACTACATCCTGAAAATAAATCAATAAATACACAAACAAACCTCTAGAAGTTGCTGTACAAGATACCCTATATCTACATTAATGTAAATTAATAAGTACAGTGCTATAAAAGCATGTACATAAAATTAATTATTCATTAACAATGCAGCAAAATTAGAAAATACATTCATCAAAATATAAAGTGCAACAACTGCATTCCATAATCAAACACAGTGTACTAAAGTGTCCCTTGCTTGGAGTTTCAGGCGCTGACATCATCCCGCACAGGAGTCCCACTTGTTCCAGTTAGCTGGTGGGATCAGCTTCTAAGCAATACTTAGCTGCTATACTGCCGGTATTAGGCACAATTACATATGAGTGCAGTTCCTTTTATGCTGATTTTATAAATAAATAATGGATTTTATTCTATGGCACCCCTCTTGTTCTCCATATGGTTTATTTGGATATGAGCTAAGGTATGTAATCAGATGCATTGCACAGATACTGGTCAGGGCTTATGGCGAGTTCTCACAGATTTGAAAGTATCTCACGGCGTGGGCTGTGTGCATTACACTGGAAATAAAGTACAAAAACTACACACATTATGGGTGTTATGGTGCACTTTGAAGAAACGTGACATCAGCAGTAGACTTTTTTTTTTTTTTACATTTATTAGCTTGCTGCTAGATTCGTTACACAGGTTAAACCAAAGACAGCTAGGCAGTTGGCATTTTTAGAACAAAGACAACAATGGTAGCCTCTGAATTGCTGTTTGATATTGGTTCTTCTAGGTCTGAACTGTAGGGAAAAATGAAAACTACCCTTGCAGTGGGACTCCCCCTGCACTGTAATGGTTGGATTCTCTTTTTCATCTATAGTAGCTTTTAATGCTGTTTCTGCTTATTCATACCCCTTTGAAATTTTCCACATTTTGTCATGTTACAACCAAAAACATAAATGGATTTTATGTGATAGACCAACACAATGTGGCACATAATTGTGAACTGAAGGAAAATGATAAATGTTTTACAAATAAATATCTGAAAAGTGTGGCATGTAGTTGTATTCAGCCCGTTTTAGTCTGATACCTCTAACTAAAATCTAGTGGCACCAATTGCCTTCAGAAGTCATCTAATTAGTGAGTCCACCCGTGTGCAATTTAATCTCAGTATAAATACAGCTGTTCTGTGAAGCCCTCAGAGATTTGTTAGAGAACATTAGTGAACAAACAGTATCATGAAGGCCAAGGAACACACCAGCCAGGTCAGGGATAAAGTTGTGGATCATTTTAACGCAGAGTTATGTTGAAGAAAAAAGAAAATTCCCAAGCTTTGAACATTTCACTGAGCACTGTTAAATCAATCGAAAATGGAAAGAGTATGGCACAATTGCAAACCTACCAGGATATGGCTGTCCACCTAAACTGACAGGCCGAGCAAGCAGAGCATTAATTGGAGAAGCAGCCAAGAGGCCTGTGGGAACTCAAGGCGCTGCAGAGATCCACAGCGCAGGTGGAAGAGTCTGTCCACAGGACAACTATTAGTCGTGCACTCCACAAATTTGGCTGAAGAGTGACAAGAAGAAAGCCATTGTTGAAAGAAAGTCATAAGACGTCCCGTTTGTGAGAAGCCACGTAGGGGACACAGCAAACGTGGCAGAAGGTGCTCTGATGAGACCAAAAAGCAAAACGCTATGTGTGGTGGAAAACTAACACTGAACATTACCCTGAACACACGATCCTCAACATGAAACGTGGTGGCAGCATCATTGTTGTGGGGATGCTTTTCTTCAGCAAAGACAGGGAAGCTGGTCAGAGTTGATGGGTAGAGGGATTCAGCCAAATACAGGGCAAACTTAGAAGAAAGCCTGTTAGAGTTTGTAAAAGACTTGAGACTGGGGCAGTAGGAAAACGACCCTAAACATACAACCAAAGCTAAAGTGGAATAGTTTAGATCAAAGCATATTCATGTGTTAGAATGGCCGAGTCAAAGTCCAGACCAAAATCCAATTGCGAATCTGCGGCAAGATTTGAAAATTGCTGTTCAGAGGCTCTCCATCTAATCTGACAGACCTTGAGCTATTTTGCAAAGAAGAATGAGCAAAAATTTCCCTCTCTAGATGTGCAAAGCTTGTAGAGACATACTCAAAAAGACTTGCAGCTGTAATTGCAGTTAAAGGTGGTTCTACAAAGTATTGACTCTGGGAGGGCTGAATACAAATGCATGCCACACTTTTCAGATATTTATTTGTAAAAAATTTTGAAAAGTATTTATCATTTTCCTTCCACTTCACAGTTATGTGCCACTTTGTGTTGGTCTATCACAAGAAATCCCAGTAAAATACATTTATGTTTTTGGTTGTAACATGACAATGTGGAAAATTTCAAGGGTTATGAATACTTTTTCAAGGCACTGTAGATGGGAAGGATTAGGAAAATATCCCCAGTGAAGGCACTAATCTCAATAAAATCTTGAGATTCTCAACCAGCAAATCGTCAAACATCGAATCATATATCTTTCGCAAGCATGATTATGAAGAGCTAATGTTTGATCCATCATGGATTGGGGAAAATGTGTGATTTAAATGAAAAAAAATCTGGTGCTAGAAATCATGGTTGCAGCATCTCATGAACAGTTAATTTTTACCTATGAGAAGATGGAAAAGAGGCCCTGGATGTATAGTGGAGGATAGGCATTAATTGAGCCTGATGGCTTGGGTTCAACAGCTCTTTCACATATAATAGGACACTCGTGGGGATCTCCCAGATTGTGGGTCGAATTATTATTTTTTTTACCCACGATAGTCTCTAGAGTTTACATGGCAGATAAAATAAAGATGGGCAACCCATTTATTGGGTGAAAAAAGTAAATGAGAGAGGTCTGTAGACAATAGCTGGATTTGTTCAAGTTTACAGGAAGTTTTTCAACTTCTCCAGTAATCTCTTTACAACAGTAACCTGCAGAATATGCTCTTCAAACACAGCAAACCAATCCTTGAAGAAGATATAGCAATAGTAGACCTTGATGAGTTTACTGTTCTGTCAGCCAAGAACAAGAAAGTAAGACTACATGGGGCATGTGAACACCCAAAAGACTGCCAGGTTTGAGCAATCTTAATGTTTTCTGTAACACACAAATGGTATGGGCTATTGGGATGGGAGTGGCTTGAAATCAATCAGCATTGACTATCCTAAAGGAATGTTTGCAGCCATGACCACCTAGACTCAGTGGGGTTTATTTACTAAAGCTGGAGAGTCCAAAATCAGACTCCCTTCTGCATAGAAACCAATCAGCTTCTAACCTCAGCTTGTTCAATGAAGCTTTGGCAATGAAACCTGGAAGCTGATTGGTTTCTATGCAGAAGGGAGTCTGATTTTGGACTCTCCAGCTTTAGTAAATCTCCCCCAGTGGGTCAACAAGCACTTTGTTCCCTCAGGGAACCCACATCCAGGACAAGCCTGCATGTGGATGTGGGTTCCCTGAGGAAGCAGAGCACTTGTTGACCCACTGGGGGAGATTTACTAAAACTGATGTGCTGTGCATGGTAGCCAATCAGCTTCTAGGTTCAGCTTGTTCAATTAATCTTTGACAAAACCTGGAAGCTGATTTGGTTTCTATGCAGAGATGCAATAGGTTTTGCACTCTCCAGTTGTAGTAAATAACCCCCACTGAGTCTAGGAGGTCATGGATTTTCGGTGAGTTTTTCTGGAGTGGTAGGTTTGGCACGTTGGTGGAGTAACACATTGATGAGACTTGCGGTGGAAGTTTTTGCACAAGAATTGGAAAACAATATAACACAAAGCACTTTGATTTATTCACTGTGGACACTTTATAACTGGAAGCACTTTAAATTCATACTCATTGCACTTTGAAGTACTTTATATTAGCAAATTGTGGTATTTTATGTAATATACAGTATGTATGTATTTGCACTAAGGGGAGTTATATACAGATGTATGGCACATACAAAAGTGCTGTGTATTTATAGAATGATGTTTAGAATACACTGATTGGCTGCAGACGTTGATAGACAAAAGTTGTCCAACATGTCCATTTAACGGAAGCAGATCTAACAACTGACTTCTGTCTAACAGGGATGGCCACACTAATCGAAATTCGTGCTGAACTGGCTGAATTTCAATCCCTCACTGGCCAGCTTTACACAATCACTGTCACTTTGCCCTGAATGGGTAAATTGACAGTATCTCTTAACCGCTACCTGACCACCCTATACCAGATATACTGCTACAGGGTGGCACGGTGCGCAAATGTATGTATATATGTGATTTTGCATTTCCGGGTAGGGAGCACGCACCCTACTTGCGCTACCATTCGCGGCCACAGCTGTCAATCAACGGGTCCAGGCCGGTGATTGCCGAGCATCTCCGACAGGGAGGAGAACTGTTTGTAAACAAAACCGTTTTCCTCCCTGTCAGCTCATACACACTGCTTTGGTGGCTGTGCACAGCCATCTATCTCTGGTAGCCACGTCTCACCCAAGCTTACTAATACAGACGTGACTGCAAAAGTGTGAAATAATTCTGGTTATATATTCAGTTGGATCATTGCTGAACATATATAACTTATTTAGTATACCATTACAGTGCCCGTAACAAAACATAAAAGTGTTTTCTATGGGCCTACCAGAAAAAAAAGAAATAAATCTGTTAGCCCTAATATATTAACTGACTCCACATCACTAATTATACATATCAATTATTTAGCAAGAATCTAGTTTCAGAAATTTGGGGGTGAAGCATGCTAGTGCCAGTTTATTGTCCTTCAGACTTTAGGGAGACTGAACTGTGGCCAGTTGGAGTGAAACTTTTCCTGGAATCAGTGGGAATACACATCACTACATTTAGTGTTGGGGGAAGGAATAGTGCCCCATTGTTTGTGTCAGTAGGAGAAATGGTACACCATCATTGGTGTCAGTTGGCAGAACAGTGTCTCGTGGCAGTGCAAGGAACAGTACCCCAAGGACTGGATGAAGACAAGCAGAGGGCCGCATCTGGTCCCAGGGCCGTAGTTTGGAGACCACTGCTATAGAGCGAAGGACAATGGCTGTATGTTTCTATATTCTGTCAAGTCCTTTGTTGTTGTCTATAGCCAGGAGCAGCTTCTTGCGCAGCTTTGCAGATTTGGAGTATTCGGGGAGCAGTAGTAGCTGGGAGCATGTCTGAGATTCTGGGAGATAGTCTTCCTTTGGAACACCAAATGAGGTGACCTTCATAAGTGTGTTTTCAAAACCAAACACGGGAATTTTATCATTTCCAGTCAGGAAATCTAAAAATACATGAGATGTATATATCAGGTTAGGCAGCATACCAAAAATCTCCTGCAAAATAATTTCTTATTAACTTGTATAATACCAACATCTTCTTTAGTACTGTATCAAGTGAAGACATATAGGAGCCGTGATTTCATAAAGCACACATACACAGTGGCCACTAGGGGTAAAAACTAACAATTGAAAAGGATACAGTATGTGTAGGAAATATTTATTACAGGTATTTATATAGCGCCAAAAGTTTAAACAGCACTTGATATTTATATTTTTACATTCACATTAGTCCCTGCCCTCAAGGAGCTTGCAATCTAAAGGTCCCTAACTCAAATTCATACATACACATAGTTGGTCAATTTAGATAGCAGCTAATTAACCTAACAGCACATCTATGGAGTATGCGAGGAAACTGGAGTACCCAAGGGATACCTACACAGGCACAGGGAGAACATGCCAACTCCATGCAGGTAGTGCCATGTCAACGACCCTAGTGCTGCTAGGTGGAAGTGCTAACCATTTAGCCACTGGATATTTAGCAGCATTAGTTGTCTTGTAGATGAACAGTATATATATGAGAGAATTTAAGAGTATAATATCATGTGATGGGAGAGAGATACCATCAATCCATGTTATATGCTGTTCCTAAATAAAAGATTTTGAGGGATTATTTAAAGCCCTGGAGGTACGGTGAAGGCCTTATGAAACATAGAAGTAAGTTCCACACAAGTACAGTAAGTTGACAGAAGTTCTGAAGGCATGGTTTGAAAAATAGTGGTCGATGAGAAAACTCTTGAGTACTTTGAAAGGAATTTATATGTAGTGGGAAGTTAAATAGCTGAGGTCAGACTTGATAACTTCATAGGGTGTATGTCTCCTAGATTGTAAGCTCGAAAGAGCAGGGCCCTCGATCCCCTCATGTTTTTCCTCTGCATTGTATTGTATTGTTGTTGTTCTGTCCCCCATTGTAATGTACAGTGCTGAGCGAACTATTGGCGCTTTATAAATACTGTATAATAATAATAATATGTTTAAAACATTTTCATAGCCATTCACCCAGTAAAAGTGCATGTATATGTATTTGTGCTTTGTGAATGGGGCAAGAAGATAAATGGTTTTAGGCTATTTACTGTGCTTGTCAAATGCTTTGCATTGATTTAAAGCCTAAATTTTGGTTTTCTCTTGTCTATGACTTTTAGTCACCAAGTGTGGCCAAAACAAACTATTTCCTTGACTAACAGATGCTCAGACTGGGAGTACTATATAAAGTATATGTACACTCACTGGCCACTTTATTTGGTACAGCTGTTCAATTGCTTGGTAACACAAAATTACTAATCAGCCAATCACATGGCAGCAACTCAATGCAGTTAGGCATCTAGATGTGGTGAAGATGACTTGATGAAGTTCAAACTGAGCATCAGAATGGGGAAGAAAAGGGATTTAAGTGACTTTGAATGTGGCATGGTTGTTGGGCTGGTCTGAGTATTTCAAAAACTGCTGTTCAACTGGGATTTTCAACCGTCTACAGGGTTTACATAGACTGTTTGCTGCGAAATTCAGATGGTAGGGTCAGAATTTGGCGTAAAACAACTTGAAAGCATGGATCCATCCTGCCTTGTATCAATGGTTCAGGCTGGTGGTGGTGTAATGGTGTGGGGGATATTTTCTTGGCACTAGCTAGGTGTACTTAATAAAGTGGTTGGTGATTGTAGAATCAGATGTATACAGTGCTGTGTTTCAGCAGTGAGACAGGGACTTCCCATTCCATTCCTGGAACAAAATAAAGTCGTGCTGAGTGCTGATCAGCCATTCATAGGGATCCTTGTATTTTATTTTTAAGCCTGTCATGTGAATCAGCAGCTCTGGCTTTCCTGTGTAAGGAAGCAGCTGCTGCAGGGGGGAAGAAGGAGCAGTGACAATGGCTGGACCATGGGAGCCTATGGGTGATATCATGTCGCTGAGAATTCACAGCCGTTGTCAAAAGCTCCCTTATACAGTGCAGCTGGAGCTGGTAAATCATGTGACTAGAACCAGATCAGATTTAAAAAAGGCAAGTACGCAGATCGTTTTATAAACAGTGTATGTGGATAGGTAGGAGAGTTTAGGGACCGTTTAAAGTTATAGTTAGCCATTACTAAATCTCCTAGGCCTGTTAGAATACTGCCTAATACAGTGAAGAACAGAAGTATTTGAACACCCTGCGATTTTGCAAGTTCTCCCACTTAGAAATCATGGAGGGGTCTGAAATTCACATTGTAGGTGCATTCCCACTCTGAGAGACAGAATTTAAAAAAATAAAAAAATCAGGAAATCACATTGTATGATTTTTAAAGAATTTATTTGTCTTGCACTGCTGAACATAAGTATTTGAACACCTGAGAAACAGCAATAATTCTGGCTCTCAAAGACCTGTTACTGTGCCTTTAAAAAGGCCACCTCTACTCCACTCATTAATCTAACTTAGTAGCACCTGTCTGAGCTCTTTAAAGACACCTGTCCACCCCACAGTCAGTCAGACGCCAACTACTACCATGGGCAAGACCAAAGAGCTGTCAAGAGACACCAGAGACAAAATTGTGGACCTCCACAAGGCTGGAAAGGACTGCGGGGCATTTGCCAAGCAGCTTGGTGAAAATAGATCAACTGTTGGAGCAATTGTTAGAAAATGGAAGAGGCTAAAGACGACTGTCAGTCTCCCTCGGACTGGAGCTCCATGCAAGATCTCACCTCGTGGGGTATCACTGATGATAAGAAAGGTGAGGAATCAGCCCAGAACTACAAGAGAGGAGCTGGTCAATGACATGAAGAGAGCTGGGACCACAGTTTCAAAGGTCACTGTCGGTAGAACACTACGCCGTCATGGTTTAAAATCATGCATTGCGCGGAAGGTTCCCCTGCTCAAGTCATCACATGTCCAGGCCCATCTGAAGTTTGCCAATGACCATCTGGATGATCCAGAGGAGGCATGGGAGAAAGTCATCTGGTCAGATGAGACCAAAGTAGAACTTTTTGGTCTAAACTTCACTCGTCGTGTTTGGAGGAAAAAGGATGAGTTGCATCCCAAGAACACATCCCTACTGTGAAGCATGGGGGTGGTAACATCATGCTTTGGGGGTGCTTTTCTGCGAAGGGGACAGGACGACTGCACTGTATTAAGGAGAGGATGAATGGGCTGTTTATTGTGAGATTTTGGGCAACAACCTCCTTCCCTCAGTCAAAGCATTGAAGATGGGTCATGGCTGGGTCTTCCAACATGCCAACGACCCGAAGCACACCCAAAGATAACCAAGGAGTGGCTCCGTAAGAAGCATATCAAGGTTCTGGAGTGGCCTAGCCAGTCTCCAGACCTAAATTCAATAGAACATCTTTGGAGGGAGCTGAAACTCAGTGTTGCTCAGTGACAGCCCCGAAACCTGACAGATCTAGAGGAGATCTGTGAGGAGGAGTGGGCCAAAATCCCTGTTGCAGTGTGTACAAACCTGGTCAAGAATACAGGAAACGTTTGACCTCTGTAATTGCAAACAAAGGCTTCTGTACCAAATATTAACACTGATTTTCTCAGGTGTTCAAATACTTATGTTCAGCAGTGCAAGACAAATAAATTCTTTAAAAATCATACAATGTGATTTCCTGATTTTTTTTTTAAATTCTGTCTCTCAGAGTAGGAATGCACCTACAATGTGAATTTCAGACCCCTCCATGATTTCTAAGTGGGAGAACTTGCAAAATCGCAGGGTGTCCAAATACTTCTGTTCCTCTCTGTATATACCTCTAGGTGGCACCAATGTTCTCATAAAGTCAAAATACAATTCCTAGTTTTGTTGTGAGTACATATTTATTTCATGGCATATGTGTGTGTGTATATATATATATATATATATATATATATATAATATATATATAAATAATTTTTTGTTTTACTACGAATATATGTGTTATTAGTTTGTGGTCGGGTAATTGGTAGTGTTGTCAGCCATCAGGTGACCTCTGACTCTACGGTCATCCTCATATAGAGTAGATTAAATTAAAACAGAATCAATAACAATCTCTCTCAGTAAATCAGAGCATTTACAAAATTGTGCAATAAATTTTCTGTTTTTTTGCAGTCAGTCATGACTGTTCTGATATTGTTAAATAAAATGTTTACAATTATTCAAGTATCTCCTAAACTCATACTAAGGTGTTCACATCAAATTAGGAAACTTATTTATACCAGCTAAAACAATTAGAATAATTAGAATTACGAATTACATAGAAATACTGGAGACATCTGTATGTTTTCATATATCAGATAACTAGAAAAACGTTTCATTTTCCCACCTACACAGGTAGTACTTATGCACCTAAACATACATTTCTCTTTCATATAATTTCACTAGTCATTTAAAAGACTCCTTTAGATAGGAAGATGTTTTAATCCTTTACTTACAGAGAAAACTCTTCTTTTGTGGTAGTGTCAGTTTATGGAAAATCTTCCAGAACATGATAATGGTTGGGTGATCTCGGGAGTATTTTCCCATGTACTGAGTATTCTGCAGGGAACACAAAATAAGAGAAGTTTCTATTAGTTATTAAAACAGGTATGTTGTTCTAAAATATAAAATACAAATGCATTAGCAACAGTACAAAGACAAATTTTGTTTTAGATGAATTTTCACAAAGAACAATTTCTTGTTATATATAATTCAAATTAAAAAAATAAATTATACTTATTATAATTACAAAGTATAAAATCTGAAATTGTTATACATGTACCAGCTACACTATATTGTCAAAAGTATTGGGACACCCCTCCAAATCATTGGATTCAGGTGTTCCAACCACCTCTGTGACCACAGGTCTATAAAATCAAGCACCTAGGCATGCAGACTGCTTCTACAAACATTTGTGAAAGAATGGGTCGCTCTCAGAAGCTCACTGAATTCAAATGTGGTACCATGATAGGTTGCCCCCCTGTGCAATAAGTCCATCCATGACATTTCCTTGCTACTAAATATTCCATGGTCAACTGTTAGTGGTATTATAACAAAGTAGAAGCAACTGGGAACAACAGCAACTCAGTCACAAAGTAGTAGGCCGTGGAAAACGACAGAGCAGAGTCAGCGCATGCTGAAGCATACAGTGCTTTTGGGATAAATTAGAGTGGAGACTGCGAGCCAGGCCTTCTCATCCAACATCAGTGCCTGACCTCACAAATGCGCTTCTGGAAGAATGGTCAACATTCCCATAAACACACTCCTAAACCTTGTGGACAGCTTTCCAGAAGAGTTGAAGCTGTTATAGCTGCAAAGGGTGGGCCAACTCAATATTGAACCCTACGGACCAAGACTGGGATGCCATTAAAGTTCATGTGCGTGTAAAGGCAGATGTCCCAATACTTTTGGCAATATAGTGTATGTCAGAATAGTACTAGCTATATCAGAATAGTGGTACCAGGTTAGTGGTCTTTGGCCTCTACTAATCAATTGTTATATTATTTTTTTTCCAAACATTTGCTAAAAAGTTACATCATTTATTAAGGCGGCATGACACAGGCATATCTCCCAACAGTCCCAGGTTCTGTGGGACTGTCCCTGGACTTCAACAAAATCCTGATGTCCTACAGATCCAGGCTCTGTCCTGGAGCCCAATGCAGGAACTTGTTCCAGCACTTGCCTTCATTGGTTTACCTTGCAGCACCCTCCGAGGCTGCAGAGCTCTGGTAGTGATCACACATCTTGCCTGCCCTCCCTGCTGCAAGGTTTACATAGTGGCAGTAGGAATACCCTCATTACTTCAGCACCACTGGCTGAGAGTGAGGGCAGGCAAGCAGCAATGTGATCATTATCAGAGCTTGCAGGAATGCAAGAAGCAATGGAGCACAGCCAAGCAGAGGATCCAATCTCCAAAAGATTAATGTGCCAATATCTGCTGTAAACCTTGCCAGGCTGAACAATTACCAGTGCAATGTTCCAGCTACATGGTGTCTCACACAGGGTAATGTGTAGGGGTGAAATGGACAGTGTGTACAAAGAGGAGCACAATGTGTACATGGGGAGAGGGCAGTGTGTGCAGGAGCAGTGTGTTCAGGGTGGGGGCAATGTGTAAAGGGAGGGGGACAGCGTGTATGGGGGGGGGCAATGTGTACTGGCAAGGGACGGATTGTACAGGGGAAAAGGGTGGCAATGTGCGCATAGGATAAGGGGAGCAATGCGTTTGGGGGGGGGGGGTTATGTGCAGGGAGGGGACAGTACATACAGGGAGAAGGGTAATATGTATATGTGTGTTGAGCAGTGTGTGTGTAGAGGAGGGGCAAGCACTGTGTACATTGGTGGAAACGTGTGCAGGTAGGGGGTAGTGTTTTATGGGGGTCAATGTATACAGGAAGTACTGAAATATGTACAGGGAGGGGGGCAGTGTGTAAAGAGGAAAGGCAGCGTTCACAGGGAGGCAGTGTGTGCAGGAAGCAGGGAAAAGGTTGCAGGGAGGGGGGCAGTCTATACAAGGGGGCAGTTTATACAGAGAGTAGGGCAATGTGTGCAGGGAGGAGGCAGAATGTAGAGGCTTACAGTGTGTACAGGTGGACAGTGTATGCAGTCAGTGAATTTAATGTGGAATAATTCCCAGGTGGCGTTTATTTGTTGTTTCTAATCAGACTACTTTGTTATGCCCAATATTCAGTATCATTTAACCATGCTTGCTTCTGAAGGTCAATATCTCCTTATAGCATCTCTCATTTTCAAGTTGGGAGGCATGCACTGGTATTACTTCTATCATTGTTATTGTAAGGACTGAATAACAAAATAGGTCAGAATTCACCAGCTCAAATATATTCCAGTCATATCTTGCATGACCAGCAACAAGATCCATCAGTTCATCTGGTTGGAAAAAAAAGACAGAATGTCTTTGTCACAAACTTTGTGCAGTCCTGTCTTGAACTCCTCAAAAGTCTCAGCCACAGAGGTATTGAAAATGTAGTCAATGTACTTGTTCACATAGTTGTGCCTTTAAGAAAACAAAAAAATTAACACATTTTTGTAAAGTTCATTTAACTTTTATTAATTATTATGTACCACAAACAACAATATATCTTTGCTTTGGGCAGGCTTAAAACGATTAGGAGTGATCTCGGCCTACATGTCTCCACCACACCACAAACCCACCAGGGCTTGGTCATAGGGTGGGAGCATAGAGCAGGATGAAAGCTTCGACCATTTTAAGGTGGTAGCCCTTCCTATTATGGTAGAAATGTTCTTTAACAGAGGAGGCAAAATTAAAACACAAGGCCACAGTCTGACACCCATGACATTGGGAATCCCAGCTACTGCATAGAAATCATTCTTAATCTCATCTCACTCCTGATGTGTGTTAGGCAGGTAGATATATTTGGGGGCAATTTGCCTGAAACCCTGCAGGGCCTTTGCAAGCAAACATGAGAAAGATGGCTAGGATACCCCACACCAGCTCTCCCGCTATCATCTGATAGGAGACATTGCTCAAAAAGTGCAGGACAGCCAGCAATTTGGTCATGGGTGGTATGGCATGACTATGCAGTGTGGTGGACTGCAGAAAAGGGAACAATTCCACAAACAGAAACCTAATCAGGTCCTTAGAGAGATGACATTTAGATAGCACTTCTGCTTCAGGGAAACCATCCAGTAAGGTGCGCTGCCTAAAGGAACGTGGACTCATGATAACCATCCTGCTTTTCCTGACCCTCCTTAGAATGGCCTGTAACTGGCCTCAAGAAGCTCTGTTAGGGATGTAGGGGAGAGCAATGCAATGTACAGCTGCCAAATGAGGTTAGACTAGCCAAATGCTCATTAGATTGTGATTTGGCGCCATTGTTGAAACATTTCCATGCCTTTCCCATTCAGGTGTGATGACCAGTCATCACTTCCATCATTACTGCATACTTGGACCACAATTACTGCATGCATTTATTTAAATATTCCCATCTATGAACTGAGTTTAACACCTTTTCATGTGGTAGTTACCAAGCATTTTGATCATTTTGTGGTAAATACCAGTATAGTGAATTGAAAGTTTCAATATTTAGGCAAAACGTGTCCAGACACCTAAATACCACATGCGAGTTGCTTTTGTGAATGGAACCCAATATTTGCCTATCCCACAATTAAGCTTTAAGGGCAAGAGATATTAAAAAAAATAATTTCTGAAATGTAGGCACAAATATTCCACTTTTCATTTTCATTGTGCAAGTGGCTGCTTTGTACTGTGGAGAGCCATCTACATAGAGGCATCATGCCACCATACACATGATGATCCTCTCTCTGCAAGATCTGCCTCATGTTCCTTGCAATTATTTTACTAAAAACTAGTAGAATGTGTCATCGTAGGACATATGCTGTCTTAATCCTTTGAGGACCGTATGATTTTGGAACGCCAAAAGAATAAATTTTTTGTTTTCGTACACTTCAGTTGCTGCGACTAAGCCATTTCATGAAATAATTGGCAAAAAGCTAGATCCATTTGTTGTTTGTTGATAAGAACTAATATTTTGACTCAAACCAAAAAAAAAAAAAAAGAGTTTTAAGTTCTTAATCAGATGATACATGCAATTAAAAACATGGGACAAATACGTCCCTTGGTCCTCAAAGGGTTAAAGGATAAGTTCACCTTTCGTAACATGTTACACCCATATTCAGGTTGTAACATGTTACATTCAGACCAGTCCCCAATCCCCGTTTTGACAGCTAGCAGGGGATCTTCTCCCCCCTCACTAGCTGTCAGATTTTTAAAAAAGTGGCCATGTGGGGCTCCGCCTACACGGCCCTGTCACTCACAGTCATCTGTGAATGAAAGACTACAAGTCCAGACAGCCTTTGCGGCTGTCAGTTTATAGTCCTCAATGAATTACTGTGGCGCTGTGAAGTGCTGTGGTAGTTCATTCATTCTTCCTGTCAAAATATCTGCATGCTCGTACATCCCGTACAGCATGCAGATCTTCTGACAGGTCTGCAGGAGACCTGTATGGCACCAGTGATCTATTATCAATGCTTTCCATGTTCCTGTAGACAATAATAAAATGCACATTCTTTTTACCTGCAAAAAAATTTGCATTTATTATTTTTTTTATAAAAGGTGAACTTATCCATTAATTAGGAATAAAAAAATAAGAAATAAAAATTATAGCCTGTAAATCTTAAGGTTTAGGGGTACTCCTTCAGACCCTGTACCTGTCCTCAGGTCCATGGGAAACTGTCAGGATGCCAAGCGGGAGTAGCTCAGAGTACATTCATTCTCCAATTTCTTCTGCAAAGAATGAACCCAGAAACGACGAGTGTTCTGTCATTCCCTGGCGGCTGTGGCCAGGGAAACAGTAAATTAAAGTGTTACTAAACTCAGGACCCTGCATTCACTATATCTGGTCTCCCACAGTACACAGAACATGGAAATGCAATTATTTTAGTACATATGTACAGCTAAATACTTTTTCTCATCGGCAGTTGGAGCAGTCTTTTGACTTCTATCAGTGTCCAGCAGAACACTGGTTAAAGCTTGTAGGAGGAGTTTTCTTTCTGCTCTAGGAGGATGCAGAACCTCTGACCTCTGTCTGGACAGGTTGATTGGCCCTGTGCTGATCACATGCACTCTCCCAAGAAAAAAAAAAAACTCTCTAGCAATACACACTAAATTGAGCATTTGCAGAGTGTTTCCACACAATATGTCCTATCAGGAGATAAGAGGGAGCACTGGAAGAAAGGGAGGATCAGAGAAGTCAGGATCAGCATTTTTACACAATGCAGAGAATTCACCTATTAGGTTCCACAGTGAGTATAATAAGCATGATTTACTGCATATATAGACTGATTTTACTATTGTGGGTTTAGTAACACTTTAAGCACACTCTGTACTTGATTAGCTGCAGTGGGGAGCAGGGAAGTCTAAAAGACCCCTGATGTCTCCATAAAGAGGACCTGTCAATGCTGTCATATTGGAGTTTCATTAGCTCCCTTGTGATAGCAGTAACATTAAATGAAAAATGTGTCAAAAATGTAATTATAAAAAATAATAATGTAAAAGTAACCCTGTCACCCCATGCAAACAAAAAGTATCTGTAAAAATTGTACTTCATATTTTATCATTGGGTAAGGTCTTGAAGAATTTTTGCTCACAGAATTTTCCCATCCAACACACTTCCAAGTGTGTCAGATGTCTGCATCCCCCACCATGCTCTGTGGTTCCTCCTGTCAAGAGCTACTAAGGATATAAATCCACATGTGCAGGAACATGTCTTTACAAACCCAGATATTACTGTGTAAAAGTAGCGGTGACATAATCACTGAGCTGTACAAATCCTATACAGAGAGCAGAACTGTGAGAGACTCAGCAGGTTCTCCCACTACAGGCTGCATGAAGAAAACTACAGGGGATGGATTTAAGACCAGTCACACTGTACAATTAAAGAGAGAGCAGTGACTGGTAAATGCACATAGGTCAAGTATTAACCCCTGGTTCACATCTGTGTGGGTGGTGTGGCTGCGGGACCCGCACAAATGTGTGCTGCCGCACCACCCATACAGAGGAATGCGGGACCCACAGGTGGGTGCCAATAATTCTAATGGCACGCTGCCAGCACTGGAAATCGCAACCATACTGGGAACCTCGGTTCCCGCGCAGACTGCGATTTCCAAAGTAGTGCAGGGTTTTCTTCCCTGCGTGTCCCAAGGCACGGGAATCCATTCAGATGAATGGGCTCTCGTACCAACGCAAATTGTGGCTCGCACGGCTGCACAGATGTGAACCAGGGGTTAGCACTTCTGCCTGGCAGTACTAGGGTCGTTGGTTCGAATCCCAGCCACGGCACCTCCTGCCTGGAGTTTGCATGTTCTCCCTGTGCCTGCATGGGTTTCCTCCGGGTATTCCTGTTTCCTCCCACACTTCAAAGACATGCTGGTAGGTTAATTGGATCCTGTCTAAATTGGCCCTTATATATGAATGTGAGTTAGCGACCTTAGATTGTACATCCCTTGAGGGTTAGGGACTGATGTGAATGTACAATATATATGTTAAGCGCTGCGTAAAATTGACGGCGCTATATAAGTACCTGAAATAAATAAATGATTCCGGATCTCACCAGCATCTGAGTGATCCTGAGTCAATACTTAAAAAGAAATAAATTCTTGTTTTTAGCACATTGATGGAAAGCACAGGAGTAAATGAAACACCGAAAACCCACAATGCTAATTATAATCCCATACACTGTAAATGTTCAGTTGAAACAGAATGGTTGTGAACAGAGAGAACAAGTAGACATACTTATTTACACTGGTCACACGCTCTGATGTTCCATTTGGGATAAGTTCCACTGTTTGGTTTTCCCAGGTGATCTAGAAGTACACAAAAACATTACTGGTAGTTCAGAGTGAAGAAAACATATCAAATGATAAGTATCCATTAGCTTTCTCACATGCTGATGACCAATATATTATATTCATTCTGTTCTTAGTCTAGAATGCTGTTGTGAAAGGAGAGTACGCAGTGTAACGAGGAATCTCTTAATAAGATTACATCAATGATGTCATGGAAGACTGAGTTAGCGGAGCAGACCAGAAGGTTAGATGTGAAGGTATCTGTTACCACTAAAAATAAATGATGCCTACTTGGAAGCAGAAGATATTACCGTGCAGTGTCATACAAAATTCTCTATTACAGCACTTGTGTAAAACACGAAACATAGAAAAACAATTTGGTTAAAGGATTTAGCAGTGTATTAGGAACTGTTTTTATAATATATCAGCTGCAAATTTTCATTTAGATTTTTCTGAAGTATATCTGATGCAAACCTAAAACCTAAGTGAATGTAGCGCTACCCTCACAGGGACCACAGATATAAACTGGTTCTTTTCCAAAAGAGTACAGAGGCCACCAGCCACCCAAGCAGTAGGTCATTCATTCTGTCTTTTTGTAGTTTATTGTTTGTAGAACTTGGGACAGGAAAGGGATTGGGGCATAGTGAACATCTAAATGGATAACGAACAGCAATCAAAGCAGAACTCCAGGCAAAAAACTTCTTTACATAGTTTTATTGCAGTCTTCCTACCTTCCTAGAATATGTAGTTCCCTCTTAGATTGTAAGCTCCAAGGAACAGGGCCCTCCTATCCCTCTTGTATTGAACTGTATTGTTGCTGTATTGTCTCCCGTTATATTGTAAAGTGCTGAGCAAACTGTTGGCGCTATATAAATCCTGTATAATAATAATAATGTAGTCCATCTTCTGGTTGACTCTGTAGTTTCTGAGAAACAGCATGTGCATTTTTTAAATAATGGGGTTAATCCCCTGTGTCTTCCTGTTTGTAACAACAGTAGATGCTATGCCTTGCTCCCTCCCCCCCCCTCCATGGTCTTGGCACATCCCTCCTGTAGTTCTTATGCCAGTGAGCAGGGATGCAATTCCTGCTGGCTGTAGTGGGCGGACCAGTCTGAGACTCCGGGACTGAACTGCCCACAGAGGCAAGGTGCCCTTCCTCCCATCCAATAAAAACAGCTGTTAGTAAGCCTGGAGCAGAAAGCATTTAACTCCAAACATGCCTGACAACAACACAGGCAGGCGGGGGTAAAGGATTCACTGGGGATTCAGAAGGCACTGTGACAGCCCAGCAGGGAGACACACATCAGTCATCACTACTAACTGTGCTGATCTCTGGACACACGGAGATATTTTATGGCCACTCTGTATAAGGAGAAGGGGGAGGGAGCTGAGCTTCTACACAGACTTAACCCCATAACTGCTGGGGAGGGAGCTGACCCCTCAGTTACCAGAACCCTTTACATTGTACTACTAAAAGCACCCAGTGATTAACTTAAGTGTCTGGTAATTGAGGGGTTAACTCTTATCCACAGGCTCAGCTTAAACTCTGACAGCAATAGGGCAATGGAGCATGTGTGCAGAGTAGTACAGCGATGGAACATGTGTGCAGAGGGGATACAACAATAGAACATGTGTGCAGAGAGAGTACAGTGATGGAACATGTATGCAAAGAGAGTACAGCATGATGGAATATGTGTGCAGAGAGAGTACAGCGATGGAGCATGTTGTGCAGAGAGAGTACAGCGATGGAGCATGTGTGTGTGCAAAGAGGGATGGACAACAAGAGAGTACAGCGATGGAGCATGTGTGCAGAGAGAGTACAGCGATGAGCATGGAAGAGAGTACATGGAGCATGTGTGCAGAGGGGATACAACAATAGAACATGTGTGCAGAGAGAGTACAGTGATGGAACATGTACAGTGCAAAGAGAGTACAGCGATGGAATATGTGTGCAGAGAGAGTACAGCGATGGCAGCATTTGTGCAGAGAGAGTACAGCGATGGAGCATGTGTGCAGAGAGAGTACAGCGATGGAGCATGTGTGCAGAGAGAGTACAGCGATGGAGGAGCATGTGTGCAGAGAGAGTACAGCGATGGAGCATGTGTGCAGAGAGTAGTACAGCGATGGAGCATGTGTGCAGAGAGAGTACATGTGTGCAGAGAGAGTACAGCGATGGAGCATGTGTGCAGAGAGAGTACAGCGATGGAGCATGTATGCAAAGAGAGTACAGCGATGGAACAAGTGTACAGAGGGGATACAGCGATAGAGCACGTGTGCAGAGTGGGTATGGGAATGAAATGTTTGCAGAGGGGGTACGGGGATAGAACATGTGTCAGAGGGAATAAAGCCATGGAACATGTGTGCAGAGAGAGTACAGTGATGAAACATGTACAGAGAGGGTATGGATGGAAAATATGTGCAAAAAGAGTACAGTGATGGAACATGTGTCTACAGAGTACAGGGATGTAACATGTTTCTATGAACCCACTAGAGGGAGATTTTCTGTTTCTGTGACTCCACTGGAGGGAGATTTTTTATTTCGGTGACTTCATGGGAGAGAAACGTCCTGTTTCTGTGACCCCTCTGGAGGGAGACTTCCCCTCAATTCCTGACCCTGTGACCCCACTAGAGGGAGACTTCCTGTTTATGTGACCCCTCTGGAGGGAGACTTCCCCTCACTTCCTGCCCCTGTGACCCCACTAGAGGGAGACTTCCTGTTTAAGTGACCCCTCTGGAGGGAGACTTCCCCTCACTTTCTGCCCCTGTGACAGCACTCAAGGGATGCTTCCTGTTTCTGTGACACCACTGGAGGGAGTCTTCCCATCGCTTTGTTTTTGTGACACCAATGGAGGAAGTCTTCCCAACAATTCTTGTACCTGTCACCCCACTGGAGGGAAACTTCTTGTTTCTGTGACCCCCACTGAAGGGAGACTTCCTGTTTCTCTGATTCCCTCACTTCCTGCCCCTGTGATACCACTGGAAGGTTCCGGTTTATGTGACCCCACTGGAGGGAGACTTCCCCTCAGTTCCTGTTCCTGGAACAGCAGTCTGGGAGACTTCCTGTTTCTGTGACAGCACAGGAGGGAGTTTTCCCCTCACTTTGTGTTTCTGTGACACCAGTGTAAGGAGTATTCCCCAACAATTCTTGTCCCTGCATCCCCACTGGAGGGAGTCCTTGCAACAATTCCTGTCCTTGTTACCCCACTGGAGGGGGATTTTCTGTTTCTGTAACCCCACTGGAGGGAGACTTCCTGTTTCTGTGACCCCAACTGGAGGAAGACTTTCTGTTTCTGTAACCCCACTGAATGGAGACTTCCTGTTTCTGTGACCCCACTGAAAGGGAGACTTCCTGTTTCTGTGACTCCACTGCAGGGACCCTGTTTCTGTGACCCCCACTGGAGGGAGACTGTTTCTGTGACCCCACTGGAGGGAGACTTCCCCTCAATTACTGACCCTGGCACAGGAACAGTCATGAAAGCATTGTCAGAGATTCAACACCTTCATTGCTGTAATAAATGTGTTCTTGCCTGTGACCTCATGGGAGATGTTTCTAGTCATCTGCTGTAGTATGACTACAGTCTCTGATCAATTAGTTTATCTGCTGTTATGGCTGGAGGGAGAGAGATCGCATGTGAAGACAGCAGCCACAGCCAGTAACAGAAAACTTAGAGGAGAGGGAGAATTCAATATTTGATTAAAATAGACTACATAGAATGAACTAAATATTTGGCACATGCATGCTTTACATTTATAAGATTGTCACCTAACTGTCCTGCTGTGTGGTGCTGAGCAGTGTGGCTGGAGAATGAGGGGGGCAGTGATTTATGTTAAAGTGAGAGAGTATACATTCAACATGCACAGGCCTAGTGTTCCCGCCCATATTCAATGCAATTCCCAGAGGTTGATGGGAACTGTAGTTTCCTTCCTTCCTGAAAAATTACTTAGACTTCTCTTCAATGGCAAGGAATTTTACAAATGTATTAACGGTTTAGTGTTTTTTGTAGGTGGGTGTACTACTGGGTGATTTTGTTTTGCCTATTCTGGAGTTGCCTATCCTGAAGCAATTGTGAACAATGAACAGTCTATTCCCTCACAGCTGAGGACCATGGGGCAAGTCTCTTGGGCATCGGCTTACCTTGCACCATTGCACAGCTATTGGTACCCAGTGCAATCCCAAGAACACTGTACAGTCACAGGGATCAATTTAGGGTCTTCACTCACAAGTCCCCAGGACAGCTCTGCACCTTCCAGCTTCCTCCAGACACAATCCCATGAGATAGACATTGCTTCTCTAGACCAGATCCTTTTGGTGAAGTTCTGCAGTCAGTTCCAGATCACAGCTCTGAACCAATGAAACCTCACAGAGCAGCAGCACAGTCCATAGGCTGCCCTAAGGTGCAATATGGATCCCTGAGGCTGGGAACTTTCCTTGCTGGGGAAAACACAATCTCTTCAGAGCTTCAGACTACTTATCAGCTTTTTATCCACTTCTAGGCACACCTCCCGAGGGATTGGCTAGGCTTCGATCAATATTCAGACTGGTTAGTTGAATTCTCCCTCCCTAAGCTCTAGAGCCAGGAGGGAGCAATCAAACTCCCAGCCTGTGAATCCCTGAACAGACAAGGCCACATGATCTCTTCTCCCCTGATTACAGAATGAGACAAAAATTAGTGCCTAACTAGGAGGGCACTATATCAAATAATAGAATGAGAAATGCTTAAGCAGAGATGATGTATATGAACTGCATGTCAAACTGATCATCAGATCCAAAAACATAGGCAACTTAAGATGCAGATCTAAAGTCTGACCATTTTGTTGGTCCTTTATTGTGAAGGGCTGTGTCGCTGACCAATAGGAAAGTTCAGTAAATGACACCAAGGGCAGGTTGTGGGTCCAGGAACATCTTTTCAAGAAAATACATGATTTGCTATCTGTATCTTTGGATCTACTTGTCAATTTTAAATTCAGATTTTACTGATGGTAAATATGCTACTTTAACCGCTTCCCGATTGCCCTATAGCAGAAATACTGCTACAAGGTGGCACAAGTGCGCATGATGATTTATATACACGATTTTGCATTTCTGGGTAGGGTGCTCGCTGCTCCTGTGCCACCATTTGTGGCCGCGGCTGTCAATCACCGGTGATTACCAAGCATCTATGACAGGGAGGAGGGCTGTTTTGTTTACTAACAGTTCTCCTCCCTGTCAGCTCGGGCACACTACTTTGGATGGCTGTGCACAGCTATCCAAAGCAGTGTGCTTACAGTTAAGTACACTGACACGGCCCCCTAGTAAAACACTCCCTGCACACAGTTGACCCTTTGATCGCCCCTCACGTTAACTCCTTCCTGCCCAGTGCCATTAGTACAGTGTCAGTGCTTTTTTTTTCTGATCACTGTGTTGGTGTAACTGGGGATGTCAGTGACACCAAGTCAGTTCCCCCTAGTGCCAGAATGTCCGCCGCAATACCGCTATAAGTCATTGATCGCCGCTATTACTAGTAAAAAAAGAAAAAAAAAATTCCAGTATTTGTACCGCCATTTGTAAACACTATAACTTTCATGTAAACCAATTAATTTACACGTATTTGGGTTTTTGTTTAGCAAAGACCTGTAGCAGAATACACTTTGGCCTCAATTTATGACACTTTGATTGTTAAAATTTTTTTTACTGGACATGTTTGATAGCCAAAAGTCAAAAATATTGTTTTTTTTCAAAATAGTCAGTCTTTTTTTTTTTATAGTGCAAAAAATAAAAAACGCACAGGCGATCAAATACCACAGAAAGAAAACTCAATTTGTGGGGAAAAAAGGACGTACATTTAATTTGGGTGCAGCATTGCATGATCGCGCAATTGTCAGTTAAAGTAACTCAGCGCCATAACGTAAAAAATGGCCTGGTCAGGAAGGGGGGTAAATGCTCAGGAGGGAAAGTGGTTAAATAATCAGCAGATTATTTAATAAAGATAGGAGTATTATGAAGTCTGACAGCAGCAGATAGGAATCTGTACCAATATGACTATAGTGAACTCATATCTGATTAGAAGCTTTGCTCTGTCCTTTCTGCAGCCATTACTATGTACACATTAGTGTAGGCCCTAGACTTTCTTTTTCTACATCTGACGTCTTAGTAATGCTGCTAAAAATACTTAAAACTTTTTGTCAGTTGGCAACAGCAGCTGTGAATCCTGATGGAGAGTGACAGGTTCAGTACATTCCACTTCCAAGATTTCTACATCATGGTGAGAAGGACCTAAATGCTCAGGGAGAGAAGATCTCTTTACACATTAATGAGTGACTCTGCCAGGGGCGGACTGACCATTTGGAAACTCGGGGCACTGCCTGAGGGCCCGGGGTCAGTAGGGGGCCCCATGAGATGCCCCTGGTACCTTTTTCATAGGCTTTTTTGAGTTTGGGCAAGGACACAGGGGCCCCATGATCCCCTATTGCCCGGGGGCCCCATGAGTTGTCAGTCCGCCCCTGGACTCTGCTAATATCATCCCATAGGAAATGAGAACTTGGTGAATATTGCCTGCAACTGCTTTGGGCTTCTAATGGCTAGTCTAACGGAGGAAGGGGGGGGGGCATTGTTGTCATGGAAGATTTTTTTAGCAATCTTACTTCTTTGACATTAAATATAATTGTTGACCAGAGTGGATGCTCTTGCTGCCTACTCCTTAGCTAGACCTACATATTACATTTCACTCCGAAATGTACTAATATTATGCTATACATATCTTAAAAGAAAACCAGGGGAGAGTTCCCATGACTACCAGGAATGCATTGTAGCTAATTTTAGACTATATCTATCATAGGATGCACCTTAAAATCTGTTAAAGCTGTTCAGTTCTTATCATTGGCCTTTACATATGTATCTATGAATTGTGACACCTATGACAATATCAGTCATTAGAATACGTAATAAAACAAGACCAGTTTCTTACAGTAAAATACAGTTCAAGGGCTTCCACTACTTCATCTTTAGCATCCAGTATGATCTGTAGACTTCTAGAAAATAAAGAAACATCATTTCAGAAATGCCTGTATAAAAACATGTAGGTGATACTGTGGGTCTAAAATGCAAGAGGTTAATCAAAAACTACATGTAGTGTTTACTAGAATAATAGCAAGAAACGGCTAACTCTGTTCTAGTACCAAGTTCTGACTTTACACCAGGGGCGGACTGACAACTCATGGGGCCCCCGGGCAATAGGGGATCATGGGGCCCCTGTGTCCTTGCCCACACTCAAAAAAAGACTATAAAAAAGGTACCAGGGGAATTTCATGGGGCCCCCTACTGACCCCGGGGCCTCGGGCACTGCCCGAGTGCTCGAATGGTCAGTCCGCCCCTGCTTTACACATGCCCTGAAAACAAGGCTAGCAGTTTCAAAGCTCAGATATTCCTTATGTAACTTTAAAAAGACCCTGTCACCAGACTTTTTTCCATTAATACCTTGCAGCGGTAGAGAATAACCACCACTTGCATGTTTCCCTATTTAAAAAAAAAAAAAAACATTTTCCCTTTGTTGTTACCCATGTGAGTTTAGTAACAATCTGATCACTTTTTGAAAGTGTCAATTCTTGTCTGTTCTGGCTCCTGCTCCTGCCCCCTCCACATGCTGCTGCTATGTATGCAGATAGCAGGAATCTGCACATACACTGGTTAGCAAATGTTATGATTTCTGGCAAAATCAGTGCATTATTATCTGTGCACCCATAACACAGGAGTGGTTAGTGCAAAAAAAACCAAAGTGGGAGCTGACTGTAATATGTGCAGAATAGAGGATCCATGCTGCTATTATTCTGTGCTCTGCTGTGTGAGAGCTCCTTCTATTAACCTTTGTGCCCGGGTCATCAAATAAATGACAAGCTGTTTAGTGAGCCTTAGACATCAATAATGATAACAGGAGAATACTACAGAGCATCATTTGAATGCAGCTGCTGATGTCACATCCATGATGCCGATAGCTGTCTCAGACCTGTTTAATATCATCAATATTTATGGGAAAATTAAATGCAGTAAGCCAGGTAATTTGACATATAGTCTTATGGGAAGAATATGTCTCATATTAATAATATGGGGTCTCTTCAATTAAAATTGGGAAGGTTGCTGGGGCAAACATTTTTAGCATAAGAACATCATCATATACTATCATGAACCTGCTATTTCCCCAATGAACCTGCTGGTGGCACTCTGACCCATTGGCCAGCCATATGTGAATCAGTAGCCAAAAGCATGTGCCTCCCTGCCACCTATTCTTCATAACACACAGTTGGAAGTGTCATTTCCCCTTTACCAGCACATAGTTTTAGTCTACTTCCTTTTCTTGCTGCCTGTTCTTGTGGTTCTGTAACTAATCTGCTTGTACCTAGTCCTGATAATAAATAAAAAAACCAGCGCTGAGGTGACTGTGGCTTGCAATATAGATGTTGGTGAAAGATATTGGTACTGCAGTATGACGAGGGATATAATAGATAATCACCCTGTTTGAATAGCATAAAACATGGCTTTATTGGCATAACAAACAATATCACCAAATGCAATCCTAATGCAGCGGGGTGGACTAGGCTGTGGCTGGAGGAATTTCTGCTCACCTAGAGTCCCTCGGACTGGGAATGAAAGTCGGATGGATGGACCCGGCCGGGGACTGCAGTGCACCAGAAGGGACATCACACCTCCGGGGATGGAAAAAGCAGAAGTCCGGCACTGTACGTGGACGCTGAAACTGGTATCCACGGCAATGCGTTTCGCACGCATGTGCTTTGTGAAGTCTAGGAATTTGAGCAACCAAACTTCCTGTAATGTCTGGCAACAGCTTGTACCAAGCTATCTACACCATGTTCCAAATTACTATGCAAATTCTATTTTAGTGTCACAAAGATGAAATATTTTGTTTTTCAGTTTAACTCATGGATGGCATTGTGTGTCAGGGCTCTTTTGATCACAGAAAACAATCTCGGAGACCTGTGATAATTAGATTGGCCGGTGAGCCCAATTTAAGGAAAAACTACTAAAGGAGGGTGTTCCACATTATTAAGCAGAGCACCATTTTCAAGCAATATGAGGAAGAAAAAGGATCTCTCTGCTGCCAAAAAGAGTGAAATAGTTCAATGCCTTGGACGAGGTATGAAAACATTAGATATTTCACGAAAACTTAAGTGATCAATCTATTAAGAGATTTGTGGCTGATATTCAGAGCACAGACGGGTTTGTGAAGATAAAGGCACATTGAGGAAGATTTCTGCCAGATCCATGCATCGGATCAAGAGAGCAGCTGCTAAAATACCATTACATAGCAGCAAACAGATATTTGAAGCTGCTGGTGCCTCTGGAGTCCCACGGACATCAAGGTGTAGAGTCCTCCAGAGTCTTGCAACTGTGCATAAACCTTCTATTCGGCCACCAATAACCAATGCTCACAAGCAGAAACGGCTGCATTGGGCAGAAAAATACATGAAGACTAATTTTCAAACAGTCCTGTTCACTGATGAGTGCCGTGCAACCCTGGATGGTCCAGATGGATAGAGTAGTGGATGGTTGGTGGACGGCCACCCTGTTTCAACAAGGCTGCGATGTCAGCAAGGCAGTGGTGGAGTCATGTTTTGGGCCGGAATCATGGGACCAGAGCTGGTCAGCCCCTTTAGGGGCCCCGAAGGTGTAAAGATGACCTCTGCAAAGTATGTGGAGTTTATGACTGACCACTTTCTTCCCTGGTACAGAAGGAAGAACTATGCTTTCCGTAATAAAATCATCTTCATGCATGACAATGCACCATCTCATGCTGCAAAGAATACCTCTGCATCAATGGCTGTTATGGGGATAAAAGGAGAGAAAGTCATGGTGTGGCCTCCATCCTCCTCTGACCTCAATCCTATTGAGAACCTTTGGAGCATCCTCAAGCAAAAGATCTCTGAGGGTGGGAGGAAGTTTACATCCAAACAGCAGCTCTGGGAGGCTATTCTGACATCTTGCAAACAAATTCAAGCAGAAACTGTCCAAAAACTCACAAGTTCAATGGATGCAAGACTTGTGAAGCTGCTATCAAATAAGGGTCCTATGTTACAATGTAACGTGACCTGTTAAAATGTTTAAAAAGTTAAAATGTTGTTAAAAGTTTGATTGAATTAGCTTTTGATTTCAGTAAATATGCTGCAAACACAACAAATGACAATTTTCAGTTCTTTACAACCTATATAAAGTGTTTTCAAACTTACTGTGTGTAATAATTTGGAACAGTGCATTGTAAGTTTTTTATGTTTAAAAAAAATACTGTATTCATTAGGAGGTTTGTTCAATAAAATTTGAATTGTACTCTTAATAGTTGATAACATGAGAATTATGCTGACTGTTATTTACATCAATTATTTAGGTAAATGAGAAAAAATATAATTTGCATAATAATTTGGAACACGGTGTAGGTGTAAGGGAATCCCGGTGAGACGATTGGCAAATAGAAGTGTGTATGCGCAAAGAAATGTGCGATTGCGCACAAGCATGCGCATGGTGAAGATTGGCGCCAGACAGACTATTTAAAAGGTGCCTCTGCCTGTGCTGAGTGCTGACTGGTCTTCAGCTGTTCCCCATTTCCTGTTTGTTCCTGTGTGATTTCCTTGTTGCTGACCAGGCTTGTTCCTGACCTGACTGATTACTCTCCTGCTTGATACTGGTTCCTGACTTCGGCTCTACTCCTGACTTTGGCTTGCTTATGATTTGGTACCTCGCTGTCCGCCCGTTGATCACCCTGGCTATTCCTATGACATTGCTCCTGTCTCCCATCCCAGCTTCCTGTCTTACTCTGGTGTACACCTGGCGACCTACCATACCAGCCCTGCATATTACTGCTGTTCCTGAATCAGAGGTTCATCAGTCTTCTAAAGTCTCCAGCTGCAAGAGCTGCAAACAACATTTGCTGGCGCTCTTGTCCCCCTGGTCCCTAGACACCTTCTGTTCCACTTCCAGTGGGGTCAGGGCTAGTGACACAAGTGAGGCCGACCTCGTCATTTCAGTCTCCAATCAGGTACATGACACTAGGACACCTTTCAGCAGCAAGTCACCCCCCCCCTAACATTAGGGTCCCTAGAGTCACCCCCCATGTCAAGGTTCCTAGAGTCAACCTCTTACACCAGGGTCCCCAGAGCCCCCCCAACCCCCTTCTTACATCAGGGTCCCTAGAGTCACTCCCTTTAAAGAGAGTACCCAGAGTTTTGCAAATTACATCAGGTCTCCAGAGTCACCTCTTTATATCAGAGTCCCCTTTCGTCCTTACATCAGGGTACCAAGAGCCTCTCTTGAATTATAGGCAACAAGAATAAAAGATAAAAGTCAGGAATCAAGGAGTGACCAGAGCTGACACAGGGAAACACAGGTCTCAGGTACAATATAATACAGTTTATTATTAGCCACCCAGATATTATCTATATAAACACACAGTAAACAAACTAACCTTCCACTAATCTTAGGAGGTCAGGAACACAGGCGTAGTCAGGGCTGGAGAGGTGGAATGGGCAGGCCGGCCGTAGGGTTCTGTAACGACTGCCTGGTGGTACCTCTAGCGGTCCTCAGGGCAGGATTCCCCAGGGCGCGGAGTCTAAGCCCCAGTCTGCCTTTTCACCAGAGCCCCTGATGGTGGGGATGGACTTGGCGCAGGACTGAGATCAGGTCGCGGCCCCTGAGTACACCTGCTAGTGGTAGAGGGATCCACCAGAGGTATGTGCAGGTACGGCTGGATCCGTGCAGGATGGATGGATGGCAGAGTAGTTAGCGTGGTCAGACAAGCCGGGTCGGTAACGGTGGAGGCAGATCAGTACAGAGCAGCAGGCAAAGAGTAAACGGGTCACAAGCCAAGGTACAGCAACAGGAGGTCAAACAGCATAGGAGTAGGCAGAAGAATAGTCAGGGATGAGCCAGTAGTCAGAACAGGAGACGGTCAACAGAGATCAGGATCAAGCCGGGTCAGCAACGAAGCAGGAACACAGGATACAGGTACAGAGGCTCATGGGAAAACATACACCAAGGCCCAGAGCACAGGCCTGGTCATGCCTTATATACACCTTTCTACAATCAGCCCCAGGTTTGGCTGATTGTGAGCTTCTGGCTGCTAAGAGCACCCGCTGGTCAGCTCTGGTACTGCAGCTCACACGGCAGGTGAGTTCCACCACCAGTGCTGAGAGCACCCGCTGGTCAGCTCTGGTACTGCAGCCCACACGGCAGGCGAGTCCCACCACCAGTGCTGAGTCCATTCCTGACAGATAAAAGGAAGGGGATGCTTCTAAAGCTGTCCAAAGATGAATCGGCCAAATTTCGATCTATGTATCTATCGGCAGGCTAGTTGTACTGAAGTTGATCCATCAATTGACTCTGTGGGGTTTTGTTCATACGATGATTGCCTCCGGCTATAGCTGGCAGCAGTAGTCATTGTATTCTGACAGTGGGGAAACCTCTGTAGCGCAGCAAGACAGATTCCCCCAACAACACTGGATGTGTTAATAGGAAAAGCAATCAATTTTTTTTCCGTCAACTCCTGGTTGAAGGAAAGAAACCACTCCTATGAGTGGCCAAGCAAACAAATGCACAGAAATAATCCTAATTAAAAGGTATGCGCTAATAACAAACTTATACAAAGGTGTATATCATCAAGGGGCGGTGATGACGCCCCTTGATGACGTCGGTGTGGCAAAGCCGGTTGGGCGTAGCCTACTTGATGTGGATGTTGGAGGGCCTTGCTGTTCTGTGCTGTGTGGGAGAGATCCGCGGTGGGCGTTGACTGTATCTCAGCCCTTTTTTGCGATTGAGGCTGGTGTCTGTTGGACACCTTGTTTGTGAGTTTCCTTATAACGTTTTTATTAAGGAGATGGATGAAGAAAACGTATTGCACCATTATGTTCTCTTTTTTGTCCCTGAGTGTACTGCATGCTCTCATGGAGGTATGAGAAAGAGTGGAGAAGTTCATCATAAGAGCTTGGGCTGCAAAGTTGTTTGTCTGTGATTATTATTATCTGGAAGTATCTGAAACATCACCATATCTATTTGGACATCGAGTTCATTGCTCCCAGAGCACAAGCGCTGTTGCTGGTTTATAATCTGACCAGCCATTAGCTCTGGTGAGTTCATTTAATCTCCTTTGGTGGTGGATTTTTCACAATTGGTTCAAGTCACTGAAGATATATATATATTTTTTGAACACTAATTTATGTTTGGACACTATAATTATTTATTTAAAACACTATTGTTTTTTGGATGATGATTTACACCTTTGTATAAGTTTGTTATTAGCGCATACCTTTTAATTAGGATTATTGTTGCCAAAATTTATTTTGGGTGGGATATGCTGCTGACATTTTGGTGTTTTTTGTAAGTGGCGCTTTTTTCTTTTTTAATTTGGTAAATGCACAGAAATAAAGGGTTACGTTAAAGTGAAGGTTCCCACCTGGTAAGAGACTTTTCACTGCACACTCCAGCTCAACTCTTTTTACTGTCCGGCTGACTGTCAGTGTGCAGTGATAGTGTTGCATAGAGATCAAGATACAGTCTGCCCAGCAGTAAATAAAGTTGCATGTAATGAAATGTCTATGATCAGAAAATTTACTTTAATTCAGCACTTTATTCTGTGTGTTTGTCTTCAGAAGAGGGAGAAGGGAGCTGTTGGAGTTCTCAGTGCACCCCTGCCTATCTGCACTGTACCCTCCATGCCCTGATCCTGGGAGGAGTTCAGTGGGTAGGACAGTGTCCGGGGGTGAAGACAGGAGAGGACTCTTGGCTTTGGGGGGAACAACTGGAATGGGGGGGGGGCGTAGCCCACCCCAGCACCCCCCTAGATTTGGCCATGCAGTGCACACTATGAATGGTGGTAGAGCCAAGCAAACGACCCCCTGTGGTCTATGTGCAGAGGGGAAACTGCTTGCACAAAACCCCAGTATGACCCAGAAGATTGCAGCAATCATTGTAACAACACCAACTTCTCCAGTGGCCCAACATGTATGACATATGCATACTTACATTGTGGGACCAATGTACAGTGCTCATCATAAATGAGTACACCCCTTTTGAAAAGTAAGATTTTAATCAATATCTCAATGAACACAAGAACAATTTCCAAAATTTGACAAAACTGAGTTTTATAGAACATTTGCTTAGCTCATTACATGAAAGTAAGGTTAATAATATAACTTGGATTACAAAATCTTCATTTTTACTCAAATTAGTTGATGTAAAAATGAATACACCCCACAACAAAAACTACTATATCTAGTATTTTGTTTGACCTCCATGATTTGTAAGGGCAGCACCAAGTTTTCTAGGCATGGAATTAACAAGTTGGCGACATATTGAAACATCTTTTTCTTCAAGAACGACCTCTTTTAGAACCTGGATGCGGGATGGAGAGTGATGCTCAACTTGCCTCTTCAGAATTCCCCATAGGTGTTCGATTGAGTTCAGATCAACAGACATACTTGGCTACTGAATTACTTTCACCCTGTTCTTCTTTAGATATGCAACCGTGGCCTTACATGTGTATTTTGGATCATTGTCATGTTGGAAAAGTGCACGACCACCAAGGGAGGCGTGATGGTAGCATCTGCTCTTTCAATATAGAGCCGTACATCTGTGAATTCATGATACTATCAATGAAATACAGCTCCCAGACACCAGCAGCACTCATGCAGCCCCACAGAAGGATACTGCCACTACCACCATGTTTCACTGTATGTACCATGCATGTTCCAAAAACATTTATCTTGTTCTCATCACTCCAGAATACAGAGTCGCAGTAGTCTTCTTTTTCAGCATGGCCTCTGCAAATTCTAGGCAGGCTTTTTTGTGCATGGACTTTAGGAAATTCTTCCTTTGTGGACGACACTCATGCATGCCATTACTCTGCAGTGTGTGCTGTAGTTTTTCACGGGAAACAATTACCCCAGTTTCTACTTCTTTCTACTTCTTTAGCTAACTGCAATGAACTTGCATGGAGATTTTCTTCAACCCTTCTCATCAGAAGACACTCATGTCAACTTGTTAACCTCCATGGCCAGCCTGGACATCTGTGTGAGATGGTTGCAGTTCCTTCTTTGTTAAATATTTGTATCGCTTATACCAGGGGGCCTCAAACTTTAAATGGGGGCCAGTTCACAGACCTTCACACTGTTGGAGGGCCGGACTATAGTTTGAAAAAAAATGTGCACAAATGCCTATGCACACCACACATATCTTATTTGTAGTGCAAAAAAACAGGAAAAAAAAAATACGATATTTAAAATGCACTCTACACTAATGCACTCGACACCGCCATGCACTGTACACTGCAACGCACTGGAAACCGCAATGCACTGTACACTGTAACGCACTGGACACCGCAATGCACTGTACTCTGCAACGCACTGGACACTGCAATGCACTGGACACTGCAATTCACTGTACACCAATATGCATTGTACACTGTAACGCACTGGACAACAAAATGCACTGTACACGGTAACGCACTGGACATCGCAATGCAATGTACTCTCATACACTGGACACCGTAATGCACTGTAGCTGGTGCCTGGTGTGCTCTCCTCCTTTCCTGTTGCTTCTCTGGCTGCAGCAGGTAAAACCGGTTCTTCCAGGTGGCCGAGGACCCAGCGAGCAGCCTAGCTATTTGCTGGCTAACGCCGGGTTTTGGGTTTTTTTCCTTTTTTTTTTTGTTTCAGCTGGCCTGATAGGCCTTACAGTATTCTGACTGATCTTCTTGTAGCTTTCACCTTTCTTGTGTAAAGAAATGATTTTCTTTCTCAGGCCTTGTGACATTTCTCTTCCATGTGGTGCCATTGCTGACAGCATGAAATGGGAAGGGGTTTCCTTTGTTAAGTAACACCCATTTATAATCAACTGTCTGCTGGACACCTGTTTAATGAATAATGACTCACGTGTAGCTGAATTCTTGTTCATTACGATTTTGTTCTCTAAAATTTAGCTTTGCTCCTAAGACTTTCATTGGGGTGTATTCATTTATGCAACATAGTCTTGAATTAATTTGTTAGGAAAAATACTTTTTTGTGTGTGCAAATTAACAAATCCTGTCTGCAAACAATGGCCCACATTTGTGGGAGTGTTTTGTAGTATAGTGTCCCATAGATAACGTTGATTGAAATGTTGAGGAAAGTAAAGGTTTTCTTACAAATCTGTTGGGGTTTACTCATTTATGCTGAGCATTGTAAATATGCAGTTAATTGTGGTGGCTGCATTAGCTTTCTTTTTCAGGCATTTCCTACTTTCTCACCTGGAGATCCTGCCACCATCACACTGCCTGTCCTAGAGTGACATCTCTTACCCTATTCCATCTGCGTGGAAGCACCGTTGTCACCCTTGGCTGCTTTCTTGATTTGGACTACAAATGCCCCTCCCCCCTTCTCATTCATAACACACAGGGAAAGTGTTCAGTTTTCCTCAGAGATAGCTGGGAACAATGTAATTAATAACAGTGTAGTAAAGGTAGAGAGCACAGAAAGGTATTTTTGCATTTACCAAAAGATAAGCTTTCAATGTGGGACCAAATATGAGAAGTTTATTGTTGGGGATTACATACCCTTATTAGATAACTGCCTTACCTTCCCAAAGTAGGCTGCAATTCTTTTAAATCATCCAGGGTAGATTTTTTGCCCAGAAGCTTCTTAAACAAGGCAAGTGGAAATGGCAGATACATGACCCACTGGTTGAAGATTGCCAGACCACAAAGTACTCCGTAATAATAATATTTTTTCTTCTCTGCTAATGCCTGCAATTGGATAAAACTTGAATGTTTATTTAAGACAATGTGTCCACCATGTCAGGGCTACTAAATTACTTTTCTACAGACATTAAAACTATGCAAATAAAATTGAAAACAGGCAAGGCATGTATTTCATACATATGTGGTTAGCCAGTTCTTTATTTGTGTAAATCAGATTTTATTTATTGATAGGTGTTCAAGTTTAGGGTACAAATATGACAAAACATATCGGAAAAGAAAAAAAGAAGGAAAATACATTCCAATACATAGTTACATATTTGGTACGGTTGAATAAAGACACTGGTTCTTCCAGTTCACCTTGAGTGTGGAAAAGTTCCATAACCTTAATTCACTAAACGCAAAGAACCTCTTATGAAGTTTTAGATTGAACAGATTCTTGTCCAGGTTCATTGTGTGGCCATGTGTCTTCTTTAGAGACCCAAGATAAAATAGTTTTCTCCCAATGATACAGTCAACATTTAAAGTTTTGTATATTGTGATCATATCTCCTCTTAAAGGATAAATTAACCTTTTTAAAAAAATAATAAATGCACCTTTTTTTGCCGGTATACAAATATGCATTTACTATTTTTATCTTAGGAGCCTGTAAAGCATTGCATCCCTGATCAGCAGATTGAGGGTGCAATATCAGACTCCTGCAGACAGGCCAGGCAGCTACTTCACTCCAGGAAGAATCAATGAACTACGAGGATGTTCAGCAGCGCCCTCATAGTTCATTGAGAATTACAAGACATCAGCCACAAAGGCTGTCGGTACTTGTAGTTTACTTATTCATAGAACTCTGTAAATGAATGAAGCAGCTGTGTGGGAGGAGTCCCACATTGCCGAACTCTTGTAACAGCAGGTGCAGGGAGAAGATCCATGGCCTGCTTTCACTGGGAAGAGTGTAGGATTGAGGGAGAGCTGCGGGAACATGTTATATGTTTCAGCTTAAAACAGGTGGAACATGTAACAAGTATCCAAAGGTGAACAATAAAATATTTTTTATTCATTTATATATATATATATATATATATTTTTTTTTTTTTTACACCCTTTCATCAGAGTAGCTCAGTGTCACCATAGTAACATTGTACTACTCTGCGGGGTGATCAGATTTAGTTTTTATTTTTTACACTGTTATTGCTTATACAGTGAAGATCACTGTATAAGCAATAGCTTTAGCTGTCATGAATGGGCTTCCCATTCATGAACATCTTGCTTTTGTCTGTGATCTGTGATTGGCTAAGCTAATCACATGGTACAGGTAGCCAGGTCCCATGTGATTTCTGTGGGCCAATCACAGATCACAACAGTTAGAAAGCTATTCATGAATGGAACCCCATTCGTGACAGGTTGTTTACATTGTTATCATGTGATCGCTATTTATTTATTTCAGGTACTTTTATAGCACCGTCCATTTACGTAGTGCTTTACACATATATACATATATATATTGTACATTCACATCAGTCCCTAACCCTCAAGGGGCGTACAATCTAAGGTCCCTAACTCACATTCATACATACACATACTAGGGACAATTTAGACAGGAGCCAATTAACCTACCAGCATGTCTTTGGAGTGTGGGAGGAAACTGGAGTACCCGGAGGAAACCCACGCAGGTGCAGGGAGAACATGCAAACTCCAGGCAGGTGGTGCCATGGCTGGGATTCGAACCAACGACCCTAGTACTGCCAGGTGGAAGTGCTAACCATTTAGCCACTGTACTGCCCCATGACCAATGACCAATCATAGCGATCACATGATACCCAGTTACCAGTAACATCCGGTCCAGTTGACACAGTGGTCACAGGAGGGGCGTACTGCACTTTCGTAAACAAGTACAGGCTCAATTACGCATATATATACATGAGACAATAAATATGCCATGATGGAGTGGCAGTTGGTTAAACCTCATCTGTCCTGTAGCAGCCCACCCCTCTATTTTGAATAGGTCTTCTTGTAAATTTACTGTGTCTTACTTTTGAACTTTTTATTCCAACCTCTATATCATTTATCACCAAGTAAAACAAAACTGGTCCCTGGACAGAACTCAGAGGCACCCCACTCACAACTCCCGACCATTCAGAAAATATGTCACACGCTCCTACATTTTTCTACTGTTATACATACAATATCATCAATGCCAAAATACCATAATTTGTAAATTAAGCATATATGAAGTACTGTATCAAATGGTTTAGTGAATTAGTGTTGTAGGTGCACTATGTCTACAGACCCTCCTCTATCCAAAATACAGCTCACCTCCTCATAGAATAATAATAGGTTTGTCTGGCAAGAATAGTTTTTCAAATATCCATGTTGGTTCCTTCTAATAATATGTTTTCATCAGCAAATTTTTGGATATGGTCCCTTATGATTCCTTCTCATAGTTTACATACTATTGATGTAAGGCTAACTGGTCAGTAGTTCAGAGGTATACTGTATATCTCTGACCTTTTTGAATATTGGTACCACATTTGCTTTCTTTAGTCTGCTGGTACCATTCCAGTCAGTAAGCTATCCTTAAAGCGATATTAAAGGTTTATACTTATTTGTTGTAAAATAACAAACATGTTATACTTACCTGCTGTGTGCAGTGGTATTGCACAGAGCATCCTGGATCCTCCTCTTCTTGGGTCCCCCACAGGCTCTTCTGGCTCCTTTCTGTCTGGGGCCCCCACAGCAAGCAGCTTGGTATAGGGGCACCCGCTGCTCCCTGTGTCCATTCACACATGGAGCCATGGCTTGGCCCTGCCTCCTCTCTCTCCTTATTGGTTGAGTGGCTGTGATTGACAACAGCAAGAGCGGATGGCTCCCACTTGCTGTCTCAGCCAATGAGGAGGTTGAGACCTGTGACAGCCAAGGCTGTTGTGCACATCGATGGATCATGGTGAGGCCCAGGTAAGTATATTAGGGAGGGCTGGGGGCACTGCTGTACACAGAAGGTTTTTTACTTTCATGCACAGAATGCATGAAGGTAAAAAACCTTGAGACTTTACAACCACTTTAAATACAACTGAATAGCAATAAGCATAAAACATGCAAAAATACTTGAACAAATAGCCCATACAATTATTTGTTTACTGAAAACTGTTGGAAAGGAATCTCTTAAAGATGGAACCACAACACAACTGTTATTCACCTAATAAGGTATTTACTGAAAATGAGTAATCCAGCCAGCGACACCAAATATGGTCAAACAGTCACATGGTGTTTCGCAGATAGTAACTGTGCTTTTCATATGCTATACACTTACATAATTCTGGTAACCATACTTCTGTAGTCTATGCCGGGGCTTGAAATTTCCTCTTGCCTGCTCGCCAATGGCGAGTGGAAATTATGGTGGGGACGAGTGTGTCCCCCAGGGCAGGGGTGTATCTACCTTGAGGCACCGCTCCCTGGAAGAAGGGACCTTTTGGGCAGCAGCGGACAGAGCCACGCAGGGCTGCCAGCAGAGGGGTAACACCGGTACCCTTGCAGTGGCCCAGACAGCAGGAGAATCTATGCTGGGGAGGGCAGTTGCAGAGCGATGCTCCTGTACCTCTCCCTCCAGCAGCTGACGAGCCGGGACCAGGGGACAGCCTGGAGCAGGGAGAGAAGTGTCGGAGAGGAATAAGCCCGGAGCAGGTGAGCTGTGCTGTGCTATGTGGGATCTCCCTGCCTCCCTCCCTACACTGATGGATCGTATGGGGCTGCACCCCCCCCCCTTCCTGCTGCCAGGAGATCAGCAGCCCTTGGAGAAGGTGAAGAGAGAGAGAGAGAGAGAAAGATGTGTATTTCTGTGTATGTACATGTATCTGTGTGTATGCGTGTCTGTACGTGCCTGTGTGTGTATACATGTGTCTGTATGTGTGTGTGTGTACATGTGTCTCTGTGCGTGTGTGTACATGTTTCTGTGTGTGTATGTAAAAGTGTCTCTGTGTGTGTGTGTACATGTTTCTGTGTGTGTATGTGTGTACATGTGTCTCTCTGCGTGTGTGAACATGTTTCTGTGTGTGTATGTACAAGTGTCTCTGTGTGTGTTTGTGTACATGTTTCTGTGTGTGTATGTGTGTGTGTGTGTGTACAAGTGTCTCTGTGCGTGTGTGTACATGTTTCTGTGTGTGTATGTACACGTCTGTGTGTGTGTACAAGTGTCTCTGTTTGTCTCTGTGCATGTGTGTACATGTTTCTGTGTATGTGTGCGTGTGTGTACAAGTGTCTCTGTGCGTGTGTGTACATGTTTCTGTGTGTGTATGTGTGTGTGTGTGTGTGTGTACAAGTGTCTCTGTGCGTGTGTGTACATGTTTCTGTGTGTGTATGTGTGTACAAGTGTCTCTGTTTGTCTCTGTTTGTGTGTGTTTGTTGGTGGCAAGTAACTCTAAGGCCTGGCTAGTAGCTCAGGACTTGAAATTTTAATGGATAGCATTCTGTGTGCAGCAAATATTGCTCTAGAAACTATTAGAGTCTCATTTCCATTTAGGGTGGAAGAACCAAAATTACCTGGTAGATAGGTAATAGTGTCTGCCTCCAGTAGAATACTTATTACACAATTTAGGATTGCAATAACTTCCATCCAGTATCTTTTAAGCTTGGGGCAATGTCATAGGAGGTGTATCAGATCTCCTTGGGGTCGACCACAATTGCTGCAGCAGGGGTCAGAGCAAAAGCCAGTCCTCTAAAGGAATTCTATATGCTATACCTACACACACAGTTCCACAATTTTTGCAAAGAAAGCTTAAATTTGTTTGTTACTTGCAAAGAGTGCTATATATATAGCCACTCAAACATTAGACTGACTTGGTTGTTATTAATACATAAATAAGGTATCAAATTTAGAATGGAAATTGGCTATGACAGGAACTGAAAGATGGCTATAGAGACTATGGTGTGCAATTAAAAACTTTATGAAAGAACTGTTATATTTTGATTCTCCTGTCATTCACTGAAGAAAATAGTAGGCTACCATATAACAGCTATTTAATTACAATATACTTTAATATTTTGCTAAAATAATTTATTTATACCAAAGTATGTGTGCTAAAGTGATATTATATTCAGACTGTTTTAGAGGATACCTGTCATGGGAGAAATATGAAACTTCACTTTTTCAAAATGCTATTATTGCCTTATCATACTGAAGCTTTGGCTTACATATATTAAATCACTAACTCAGAATCAATATGGAGATAAGAACTTCTGACTTTTCTCTGACATAGCAGATCTGTATAAATGTTCTAACTCACTGATGTATTGAAGCCAGGTCAGTATAAACAGCCAGGAAGTAGTATTTTCAGAAAGGGTTTGACAATATCGGCCTTAGGATTTCTTTCATAATGTGTTTATTGTATTCACCATATTAAACTGCTCATTGGAATTAACTGGAGGCAAAAACATACAGTATATTGGGGGATAATATAAATTAAAAATTAATACAAAGCATGAGTTGTCGTTGGCAACAGAATTTACAATAAAAAAATTAAACTTACATGACTTGGAAACCATACTGGCAACACGGGGTCAGTGCAAGAGAATAATCCATAATCAGGATGAACCATCTTCTCTCCCAGATTGAGAAAGAACTCTGTAAGTGCACCTCTGGGATCAACTGAAGTCTCACCCTGGAATTCCACCTGTCATGTCAACATGAACATATTATCTTGCCATTCATCAGCACATGTAGTGTTTTTCTAGATAATATAAGACTTCTAGATAATCTAGCAGACATTTATTTACCATATTACACAATTTTAAAAAACAAAATACCAGTAGTTCCTTTCTGAGATCACAGTCTTCTGCGATACTCAGTTTATGCAGGGTATCTTCCAACAGATGATCACGTCGCACTTTGAGGTGTAACAATGGTATCCTGGGATTTTCGCCGATGCCCTGCATTCTATTCATCACCAGCTCTTGTTGAGCTTGAAGCTTGGCACCCTGAGAAAAGAATATTGGTATATTAACCTGTTTGTGTCTGAGAGTTATACAAACTTTGATGGCAAATAATTGCAAAATATGATGATGGCAAGATAATATTTTTCAACAAAAACGAATAGATGTTCTGTATACCATAAAAGGAATCTGCATTTAGAGCTCTTTTACAGTCACATACTCTGCACCCTGCCCTTTATTATCAGCAGTGTGATGATGTTAGAATTAGGGGACCAGTTGGCATGGGCAGAGATTGCACCACTGGATCACCAGTCCCACAATCAGAACCAGCAAGGAATAAGGACAGCAGATTCAGGTAAGTCAAAAAGAGGTTTAGAGAGAGTTTTAAAAAACACTGTGAATGGATAGAGGGCCATGGACCTGGGAGTGGGCTCTAAAATGGGTCTAAACTATGTCTGTTAAATATTCTGTATAGCATGGATGCAATGTGTATCAGATGCACCTTTTCTCTGTATAGTTATTGGACTTGCAAATGTTTCCATTCATAAACAGATATACAATTATCACATACAACCTTTGTCTGCACTGTCAAAATACATGCAAGACAAGTAAGACCTGTTTCACACCTATGTGTGTGGCAATCTGCTGCAGGAAAAAAAAAAGTCCCTGACCCTTTTCAAAAATGCAGAGGCTGAAAACACATAGACGTGAACGTTTCCCATAGGAAACCATGATAAATGGATTGTAGTGAGCTTCTGCAAATGCAAAAAACACAAAAAAACGCATAGGTGTGAACCAGGCCTAAAGCAAGAAACTGTTCTGTGTAAAAGGGTTTTCCTAACATGGGTTTCAGGGACCCAAGGTAGTGTGTCTACAGATATCATTGATGGTCAAAGCATACTTGTGTCTTATTTTTACAGGACACACTAAGCTAATGAGATGTCACACTATATTGCTAGCAAAGTCCTAGGCAACATATGAGTAAGCAATACAATTATAAATTTAAAAAGTTGGGTTCCTTCTTCACATTGAGAATTGAATTGGGATTCTATGTATATGCTGAGCTGAGCCAAATGACCAAATTTGACCTTAATACTTACATTCTTTCTAATGTCTCCATCAATGTGCAGATAATTAACCTTAGTGGGAAATGTTAAGATATATGGATAGCGACAAAATACTGCAGGAGCAGAGCTGTCGTCAGGGTCCTGCAAGTGAGATAGGAAGAGCAAATCAAAAGGCTTACAACACTATACCATCAATATAACAGCTTTACAGACAGAAATAGTTCAGCAGATTCTCATAGTTATGTAATCAGGAGATGAGCTAACCAAATATACTGGATATTTTCTATAGCTCAGGTGTCCTTCAGACTGTTATGCAGGCCATAGATGCGTCGAAAATCGGCCGATTTTTCGGCCGAAAATAAAATCGGCCGATTTTCGGATCGTTAGTGGGCTATTTGTTCGGCCATTTTTCGGTATTTTGGCCGTTTTTTTAATCGGGAGAGTTGGAAAAAAAATCGGCCGATTTTTTACCGATAAAAAATCTGCGCATGAGCAGTGACCTGCAAGAGGAAGACAAAAAGAAGAAAAAAGAAGAAGAGGAAGAAGAAGAGGATGAAGAAGAAGAAGAAGAGGATGATGATGATGAAGAAGAGGATGATGATGTTGAAAAAGAAGAAGAGGAGGATGATGATGATGAAGTAGAAAGAGGAAGAGGATGATGATGAAGAAGTAGAAGATAAAGAAGAGGATGATGATGACGAAGAAGAAGAGGAGGAGGAGATGATGAAAGTAGAAGAAGAAGAGGATGATGATGAAGAAGTAGAAGAAGATGAAGAAGAGGATGATGATGACGAAAAAGAAGAAGAAGAAGAGGATGATGATGATGAAGTAGAAGAAGAAGAGATGATGATGACGAAGAAGTAGAAGATGAAGAAGAGGATGATGATGACGAAGAAGAGGAGGAGGAGGAGGAGGATGAAGTAGAAGAAGAAGAGGATGATGATGAAGAAGTAGAAGAAGATGAAGAAGAGGATGATGATGACAAAGAAGAAGAAGAAGAAGAAGAAGAAGAAGAGGGGGATGATGATGATGAAGTAGAAGAAGTAGAGGATGATGATGAAGAAGTAGAAGAAGATGAAGAAGAGGATGATGATGATGAAGTAGAAGAAGAGGATGATGATGAAGAAGTAGAAGAAGATGAAGAAGAGGATGATGATGACGAAGAAGAAGAGGATGATGATGACGAAGAAGAAGAAGAAGAAGAAGAAGAAGAAGAAGAAAGAGGATGATGATGACGAAGAAGAAGAAGAAGAAGAAGAAGAAGAAGAGGATGATGATGACGAAGAAGAAGAAGAAGAAGAAGAAGAGGATGAAGATGAAGAAGTAGAAGAAGAAGAGGATGATATGATGATGATGAAGAAGAGAAGAAGAAGAAGAAGAGATGATGATGATGATGAAGAAGAAGAAGAAGAAGAAGAGAAGAAGAAGAAGAGGATGATGATGATGATGATGAGAAGAAGAAGTAGAAGAAGAGGATGATGATGAAGAAAAAGAAGAAGAAGAGAGGATGATGATGATGAAGAAGTAGAAGAAGAAGAAGAGGATGATGATGAAGAAGAAGAGGAAGATGATGAAGGAGAAGAAGGATGAAAAATAGGAATTCCAGTCCGGCAAAAAGTGTCCCTGCAGAGAGCTCCGCTATTTCTTTGACAGTTCCTTGACATTTACAGAGGTTGCAACATTGTATATATTTGTTTCCGAATAAAAACATCTGTATCCTAAATGGATACAAATAGATACATTGTTGCAACCGCTGTAAATGTCAAGGAACTGTCAAAGAAATAGCAGAGCTCTCTGCAGGGACACTTTTTGCTGGCTGTAGACGGGATGAAAATCGGCCGATTTTTTTTTACCATTGGTGGTAACGTCGGCCACTTGAACGACCGATTGTTCGTTTTTTTAAAAGAAAAATCAGCCGATTTTCGACCCATCTATGGCCTGCATTAATCTTGCCGGCTGTCTTGCACAAGCAACAATGGAGCAATTCATGCTTAAAGGGAAATCACACTTTTGTTAAAACGTATATTTTTGTGAAGTTGTCTTTTAAAATTTTAGCCAAACCCCTATCCACATACTTGTATCCTAACACTCAGCCCCACTCCTAAGATCTCCATTGTCAGGTTCTGCCCAGCTCCACAAAGCTTTTGCAGACACAACTCTTGCAATGTAGTTTTCTTAAATGTTTGTACAGAACTTTTTTCTTAAAAACAGTACCTTATCAGGTTTATAACATCATTGCTATTGCCTAGTTTAGGGCTTAAAATTTCCTGATCTACTAGCCAGGCCTTAGAGTTACTTGCCACCAACAAACACACACAAACAGAGACACCTGTACACACACACACAGACATGTACATACACACAGAAACATGTACACACACATACACATACAGACACATGTATACACAGGCACGTACAGACATGCGTACACACAGATACATGTACATACACAGAAATACACACGCACAGACACATGTACACACATACACATGTACACACAGACACATGCACACACAGACACATGTACGTACATACACACAAACACATATACATGCACACAGACACATGTACACACATACATGTACATACACGCAGACACATGTACAGATACACACATGTACATACACACAGACACATGTACAATTGTACATGTATACACAGACACACACGTACACACACACACACAAAAAGTTGCAGTACTTTGTTGTTCACTCTCAGATCCAGGTACTGCACTCTAGGGGGAGGCAGAGAGCACAGCACACACTCCTTCCTTTGCTTTCACTCCGCTCAGCTATTCAGCAGTCTGACGGCTCCCAGTGCCAATGACAGATCCAGCCTGAGCTCCGAGCCTGCCCAGTGAGGCGGCCCTGGGGGACACAATCGCCCCCACCATAATTTCCACTCGCCATTGGCGAGCAGAAATTTCAAGCCCTTGCCTACTTAATTGCAAAGTACATGGCATGTGTGGGGGAATGAGTTTGGAAAAGCAAATAACCTCTGTAGTTGCAGGCATAATCACTAAGACAGTGCTGAAATACTGCCCCACTTACTTTCAGGCTCATTTATATTTGCAGTTGAGAGGCAGTAAAAATAGGTGGTTGAGCCACTGTTTTACCACTACCCTGATCTCCCACCTTAAAATAACACGGTGGCCAGAGGGGTTGTAGTTATGCCTTGACAGCAGTGCTTTGTTTCATGTCTGTAACAAAAATTATACCTCTGTCACATTCGGCAGTGAGTATTACCGACAAATGCACCTCATTCAAAAGGCCTATTAGCCGCTCCTGTACCTCTTTCTGAACCAGGGGCAGACTAACCATTTGGAAACTTGGGCACTGCCCGAGGGCCCGGGGTCAGTAGGGGGCCCCATGAGATGCCCCTGGTACCTTTTTCATAGGCTTTTTTGAGTTTGGGCAAGGACACAGAGGGTCCCCATGATCCCCTATTGCCTGGGGGCTCCATGATTTGTCAGTCCGCCCTGTTCTGAACACGTTTCTCTCCTTACACATTGTCTGGGGTGTTGTTCCCTGCTTGCAGTCCACAGGTGCTGACTGCTTTCTTTTGCAGAATCAACCATTTCAGCATAGTAGGAGACTAAATTGTCACTATTATTATTATTATTATACAGTATTTATAAAGCGCCAATAGTTTGCTCAGCGCTGTACATTACAAAGGGGGACAGAACATGTGACAGAACAATACCAATACAATGCAGAACATGAGGGGATCGAGGGCCCTGCTCTTTCAAGCTTACAATCTAAGAGGTATGTGGCGTAACAAAGGATAAATAAAGCATTTAGACTTTAAATGAAAATGAACAGGCTGCTAGACAGTGGTTAGGACGACTATGATAAAAGCGGGTCACATCCAATGCAGAGATAGCTTGTTTGTTCATAAAACTGAACAATTCATGCGTGGATGAAGAGAGTTGAATGGACAGGAAAGTGCCACTACTTGAATTTTCACTTCTATCACAAACAGACTCAGTAACATGTTAAAAATTGATAACTGTTTGATATTTCTTTAGAGCCTGTAATGGGAAAAAGACCAAATAGAGTTAGGTTGAATTAAAATACAGTATATCTAAAGCCAAGAACAAAAATGCAATATTTTGCAGCTTACAAGTCCTCTGATGCGGTGGCTGCATTAGTTCTCTTTTTTTAGGCTAAGAATATTTACTGCAAGAAAAGAAAAATACTTGTTGATACCGCAAGAAATCTTGCGTCCTTATAACTTCCTGTGCACTAAACTGAATCCTCAAACCATGATCCTTCAAAGTTATCTTCCTTGATCTACAAAGCAATACAAATCTTTGTAATAGAGATGAGGAAAGGGGAATATGTTTGTAAATCAAATAAGGAGAAATTCCTGGAAATGCTGCTCCTCTTTAGATATAGTGAGTAAGAAAGGAAATTAAGTGGGTTACTGGAGGATCACCAGATGAAATTAAAGCAAAAAAAAAAGCCAGAAAAAAAGGAAAGAATCCAACAAAATTTAGTGACTGGTAAGCAGCAATTTATTACAGTATTGTTTTTAGGTTTATGCACACTTTATACTTAAGTCTAAAACGGAGAGCAGAAGTTAGGTATAATGTGTTAAACTTGCAGTACTCCATTGCTGTATGTTTCAAGATACGTTACTCCAAAAACGTGGACTAGAGTGCAGCAGAACCCTTAGCACAATGCTTCAGCACCCATTGCACTCTCTACTTCCTTTCCCTGATATATTTTCCTAATAGAATAGGTTCCCACAATTAAAGTCTATGGGTCTACTACTGCAGCAACTAATTCCAATCAGAAAACAAGCTGGGTCAAGAAGAGTGCACGGAACAGAAGCACTGAATTAACTACTGATCTAACTGTGTTTCAGTTTTAGGAGAACCATATCTCAGGAAGAGAAGCACAGCAGTAGGCATAATGTTTTTACTCACAGGTTGCTTTTGCCATATGCGCCAGTTGCAAATATCCCTGGGAATAATGATCACCTCAGAAACCTCTGGAACACAGAAGTGAATTTCTGGAACTTTAAAATTGGCTTTTATGTTTACCTGCGTCACAAAAAAAAATGAATTACTTAAAATAAACATACGTAATATACAGCAAAATAATCCAAAATACAAACAATACTTTAGTGGTTTCATTCAATAAAGCATTTGTATGCTGGCTCTTTGAGGTATATTGATGCTGACTGCTAGTACCACTAAATAATATTTGGTTCTGTATTCTATAAAGTGGATGGTACTGGGAAGTGTGTAGAGGGTGGAACCAAGGGACGGTGCTCAAAGATGGGTATGGGGTGGGGACAAGGGGTGACTTGGAAGGGGGAATTACCTGTTCTCAGAGAATAAAAGCCTTGCTGATTAGGGTTGCAGCATAAAACATTATAACATAAAAGTCAAAAACATTCCCAACCAAGCAAGGTAGGGAAATCCCCATCTTTACCCCAGCTGAACATTTATCCTAAACCACAATAAATCATCTTTAGGATCATTTCAGTACTGTACTTTAAACTGTACAATTACCGTAAAAGTGGTCTAATCAGCGACCCTATTTTTGACCATTTTTGAAAAACATTTACAAGGGCACACAAGGCTCATATTTATTATTCTATATTTCTGCAGTGCCTTATTCATTTTAAAAAAAGTGGTATAAGTGGGTGGTTGCAAGTCTTTCCAGTGTAAAATAATTGCCTTACAGGCACAGAAGCAGATATGGAGGAACTTTGCTCTGGTGTGCATATAATCATCCAGTATATATAAATATGTAGGACCAGGGGCAGACTGACCATTTGGAAACTTGGGCATTGCCCGAGGGCCCGGGGTCAGTAGGGGGCCCCATGAGATGCCCCTGGTACCTTTTTCATAGGCTTTTTTGAGTTTGGGAAAGGACACAGGGGCCCCATAATCCCCTATTGCCTGGGGGCCCCATGAGTTGTCAGTCCGCCCCTGTGTAGGACTGGAGTGGAATGGAGGAGTGTCTGAAGCATAAAGCACATTGAAGCCCAAATATTTATTTAGGAACGAATGGATTTTAACCAAATAAGTATCCGAGGACATGTCCAAAACATGTGAATGAGGTTTCCAAGATCAGTTATAGAATTCAGGCACTTTGCATGGAGGTACAGGCCCATATCGATCAGATGCTAAAGTGTATAATAGAAGTGAATGAATAAATTTGAATTGCAGCTACTTGCTTGCTGTATTCTTTAAAGAAATTTTACAGAAAACTGCTGTGTATAGGAATATGTAGGCAGCCACTGTGGGCTTCTCTTTCTGAAAATGTTAGTTGTCTGACTGCTATGATATAATGTTTAATTTTTGCTCTGCAATTGGCTTTTGCTTCAGGTAAGTGACTCAGAAGTACTCATGGCAGAGAATAGGCATAACTGACAGGTAGCTAACATTTTTTAGAAGGAGGTTAGCAATATGCAGGTGAAGAGCTACTCCCTTAAGAGCCGCTAAGTATTTTTGGGTTCCCTGTCTGTTCTAAGCCTGTTTTGGAAGTACAGCCCCTGTTGACATCATCATAAAACTTTGACCAGGAGGAATCCCTGTCTTTGAACCATAAAATAATCACACAGTTTAAGGTGAACAAATATTCTGATTGTATTGAGGTCAGAGCATAGCAGTGCAAGCACAACAAGAATGACAGTAGATGTGCAATGAAATTAAACACCAATAAAGAGCACTTAAACCAGTAATCAAGTAGCGCATAAATTCTTATCCATGTAAAAAATTACAAATATTAAACAAAAAAAATTATATATATCAAAAAATATAATATATATAAAAAAAAAGTGAAGTGTTGTCAGGGCAGGAGCTGAGGAACGGACAGGCAGGCCTAACAATGTAACGCACTGGCTGACGACAACCACCACCCACAGACTGAAGTCCCTCAGGGCGCGGAGTCCAAGTCCCAGGCTGCCCTTCACCAGGGCCCCTGATGGTGGGGATGGACTTGACGCAGCCAGGAACCAGGTCGCGGCCCCCGAGACACCTCCGCTGCGGTAATGGCCGCCGCCAATGGCGTGTAGCTGGTGGAAGAGACAAAAGAGTAGTCAGACAAGCCGGGGTCAACAACAACAGGACAAAACAGTACAGGACAGCAGACGAGAATCACAGGTCACGAGCCGGGTTCAGCAACAGAGGGTCAGATCAAAGGAGAATACAAAGAATAGTCAAGTCACAAGCCGAATCAGATACCAGGAGAGTCACGAGAGTCAGAACAGAGTAATAGCAACACCAAGACACAAGACACAAGTGCAAAGAGCATGTGCGGGCCACAGGCTTATATGTCATCAGCCACACCCCTCTGGGGGATGGACCACAGAAACCTGAAGGCATAAAAGGATTCCCATCATGCACAGCAGAATCCAAGATGGACGCCAGCACATGGAGTAACATAACCTCAGGGAAAAGGTAGGACCTTGACAAGTGTATAGTCCCAAAGAGATCCAACTAATATTAATTTATCCACCAAACAGTTCTTCAAAATCTTCTTAAAGGATGACCACCATGTGAGAAATTATATTGTGAAAAAATAAGGGGTACTCCCCTCTCAGGTGTATACTCACCAGCAAGTGTTTGCCTCTCACTCTCATGGTTGGCAAATTTGGCTTAATAGACATTCTTCAATGGAAACAAGAGGTTAATCAGACCATAATATTCCAATCTCCTTCCCTTTCAAAATGACCAACAACATATAACAGGTGCTCATGAATTCCAATATTTCAACCTTAGAAGTAATGATCAGGGACTCTTTTTTCTTCCCAGTACTTCACACTCACACTTCACACTTCACAAGTGGACTAAGATTACAAGATGAAAGAAAATTAAAAGCCCAAAGATGTTGGATAAATGTGCATGTAGGAAAGAAAGCCGAGCCAGCGCTCTCACCACCGCCGGGCACTCGATCACTGACGCTCCCACTTCACTTCCGGTTCCGGTCAGCATCACTTCTGGTCGCTGCACAGCCACGCCCTGACGCGTTTCATCATAACCAACTTAGTCATAGGGAACCTGGAAGTGATGCTGCCCAAAACTGGAAGAGCGTCAGTGATCGAGTGCCCGGCAGTGGTGAGAGCACTGGCTCGGTTTTCTTTCCTATATGTACATTTATGCAGCATCTTTGGACTCTTAATTGGACTCTTAATTTTCTTTCATCTTATAAATGTCATTCCACTTTGGCAATAAAGGAGCTCTGTTTTGTACTGCACCATTGGGGCATTCTCTTCTTTTCTCTTATATGGTCATTATTTGAGTGTGAAGTACTGAGAAGAAAAAGGAGTCCCCGATCGTTACTTCTAATGTTGAAATATTGGAATTCATGAGCACCTGTTATATGTTCTTTGTCATTTTGAAAGGGAAGGAGATTGGAATATTATGGTCTGGTTAACCTCTTGTTTCCATTGAAGAATGTCTATTAAGCCAAAGCCAAATACACAGTTTAATAGTGGTATTTATTACTTTTTCATGCATTTAGCACAGTTTTATTTAATATACATTATCACTTAAACACAATGAAATTAAACACAAAATAATAAATCACAGTATTACTTTACATAACCCCAAATGTCCTGCAGGATCAGAATTTAAACATCAATTCCAGCTTGTAAGATATATCTCCCCAGGTGAGCTGAAGTGGACTATGAAGATGCTAGGCTAACTCACTTTTGGATTCTCAATAGCTGGAAACTGGGTTTAACTCTTGAAATGATTTTGTTTCGGTGTAAGAGCAAGATTTCCTCAAGATGGTACAGCAACAGCAAGATTCCCCATTTGAGTGGTGTTGAAATTGGGTAAAGTCTCTTTAACAAAAAAAAATGGTGGCAAGAATTGGCTAAAGTTGAAGGAAGCAGCGGAAGCAGACTTCAGCAGAGTTTGAACACCTAAGGATGATGAACTAGTCTGGTGAAGCAAGTTGCTTTGGAGCTGGAGGAGGCTTGAAATGGGAAAATAGTGTAATCCTGTCTGCAGGGGCACATGCTATAGCCAGAGTCCTGCGGTTTCAAGATAATAAGGAGACACTAAAGCAGCGGTACTGAATGGACTAGGCCAGGGCTTGAAAATTGCTATTTGCCAGCTCGCCAATGGTGAGTGGAAATTATGGTGGGGGCGAGTGTGTCCTCCAGGGCCATCTTGCTGAGCAGGCTCGGAGCTCAGGCCAGATCTGTCTTTGGCACTGGGAGCTGTCAGACTGCTCAATAGCTGAGCGCAGTGAAAGCAAAGGAAAGAGAGTGTGCTGTGCTCTATGCCTCCCCCTAGAGTGCAGTACCTGGATCTGTGAGTGAACAACGAAGTACTGCAACTTTTTATAGTGTGTGTGTGTGTGTACGTGTACATGTGTGTGTGTGTTTGTGTGTGTCTGTGTGTATGTACATGTGTGTATCTGTACATGTGTCTGCGTGTATGTATGTGTGTGTACATGTGTGTGTATGTGCATGTACATGTGTGTTTGTGTGTAAGTACGTACATGTGTATGTATGTACATGTGTCTGTGCGTGTGTATTTCTGTGTATGTACATGTATCTGTGTGTATGCGTGTCTGTACGTGCCTGTGTGTGTATACATGTCTGTATGTGTGTGTGTATATGTGTCTCTCTGCGTGTGTACATGTTTTTGTGTGTGTACAGATGTCTCTGTTTGTGTGTCTGTTGGTGGCAAGTAACTCTAAGGCCTGACTAGTAGCTCAGGACCTGAAATGTTAAGCCCTGGACTAGGCAGTCTATGTCCCAATGTGAATCTGTGATGTAAAGTGTGCTGAAGTGAACACTTGAAAATAACACAGTCAACTTGCAACTTGTGATGATCTGGGTTATGGAACCCTCTCACCTGGTCTGTAGTATTTGCAAAATGAGCAGTAGTCTCTCTGTTGGGGGGGAGGGGACATGTTCTCTTGATCCCTCTGTCAAGAATCAATACCGATGGCAGCACTACAATGCACCTGCCTGCAGGATTGACTATCCTGCTTGTCAGCAATACCAGCAGTCTGCAGTTCCTTCTCTGCGATGTGACCTGATCCAGCCTGGATCCTGCAC